AAGGCCTGGCTCCTGTGGGGCAAAGGCAGTGACACAGTTTTACTACCTGGACGATGGCCTGGGCATCACCCTGCACCCATCCAGCCTCTACTCTGGGCAAGGAGATGAGTTTGAGGAGATAGTCGCCCTGGCCCTAGAGTGCCAGGGTCCAGGCGTTGGGATGGGGCGGTGGTTGTACCCGCTGTGACTTTCCTCTGCTCGGAGACAGAGGCTGTGGGAAGAAGTCCAAGGGCTCAGGAAAGACTGGGAAGCCCTGTAGATCCAAATGGGGTGGGAGGGAGGGGTGGAACTGAGAATTCAGAGGCTCCAAATCATGGACCTCCCTTGGGCTTTCAGATGATCTGGGTGCATGTCTTTTTGCCTGGCTGTCATTGTAAGTATTCTATTTTAAAGCAGATAACTTACCCAGTATAATTTCACTTCTTTGCATGAGTCTTGCTTTTTGGTCCTGAGAAAGATCAATTCTAGTGAATGTTTCATGTGGACTTGAAAAGAATGTATTCTGTGGTTGTCGGTTATAACGTTCTATATGTGCCAATAAGGTGCCTATATGTGTTGTAAAAATCATGTATATTCTTACTGATTTATTTTCTTGTTATGAAACTTACCATTTTAACTATTTTAAAGCTTACAATTTAGTGGCACTAAGTACATTCATAATGGCGTGCAGTCGTCACTACTGTCCAGTTTCTGAACATCTACATCACACCAGAAGGAAACCCCACACCCATCAGCAGTCATACCCCATTTCCTCCTCCACCTGGCCCCTGGCTAATGCTAATTTGCTTTCTGTCTCTGTGAATTTGTCTATTGTAGATATTTCATATGAGTAGGATCACACAATATGTGGCCTGTTGTGACTGGCATCTTTCATTTAGCATGTTTTCAAGGTTCATTCATGTCGTAGCATGTATTGGTAGTTCATTTTTCATGGCTTAATAATATTCCATTGTATGGATATGTCACATTTTGTTTATCTGTTCATCTCTTGATGGATATTTGGGTCATTTCCATCTTTCGGTGATTGTGAATAGTACTGCTGTGAACATTCGTGTACAAGTTTTTGTCTGAATATCTGTTTTCATATTTTAGGGGTATATACCTAGGGTAGACTTGCTGGGTCATAGGATAATTCTACATTTAACTTTTTGAGGAAGTGCCCAACTGTTTTCCATAGTAGCTGAACCATTTTACATTTCTACCACCAACGTGCAGGGGTGTTCTAATTTCTTTACATCCTCACCAACCCTTTTCTTTCTTTCTTTCTTCTTTTTTTCTTTTTTTTTTAAAAAAAAGAAAAGATAGCCATCCTAGTGGATGTGAAGTGGTATCTCATTGTGGTTTGGATTTGTGTTTCCCTAATGATTAGTTATGTTGAGCATTTTTTTCATGTACTTTTTGGCCATTTGTATATTTTCTTTGGAGAAATGTCTCTTCACGTCCTTCATTCATTTTAAAATTAGGTTATTTGTCTGTTGTTGTTGTATTCTTAGAGTTCTTTATATATCCTAGACACGAAACCTTTGGTAGATACTTGATTTACAAATATTTTTTCTCACTCCATGGGTTGTTTTTCATCTCTTGATAGTGTTTGTTTTTTGTTGTTGTTGTTTTGTTTTTGTTTTTGTTTTGTTTTGTTTTCCTTTTGAGACAGGGTCTCTCTGTCACCCAGGCTGAAGTGTAGTGGTGTGATCCTGGCTCAGTGCAGCCTCAACCTTCTGGGCTCAAGCACCTCAGCTTCCTGAGTAGTTGGGACCACGGGCATGTGCCACCATGCCCAGCTAATTTCCTTTCCTTCCTTCCTTCCTTCCTTCCTTCCTTCCTTCCTTCCTTCCTTCTTTCCTTTCTTCCTTTCCTTCCTTCCTTCCCTCCCTCCCTCCCTCCTTCCTTCCTTCCTTCCTTCCTTCCTTCCTTCCTGCCTTCCTTCCTTCCTTCCTTCCTTCCTTCCTTCCTTCCTGCCTTCCTTCCTTCCTCTTTTTCTCTCTTTCTTTTATTTTTTTTTTAGAGACAAGGTCTCCCTGTGTTGCCCAGGTTGGTCTCCAACTCCTGGGTTCAAGTGATCCTCCCATCTTGGCTTCCCAAAGTGCTGGGATTACAGGTGTGAGCCACCACAGCTAGCCTAGCTTTTTTTTTTTTTTTTAAGTTATTGATTCAATCTCTTTACTTGTTATAGGTCTATTCAGATTTTCTATTTCTTCTTGAGCCAGTTTTAGTAGCTTGTGTATTTCTAAGAATTTGTCCATTTCATCTAGATTATCTAATTTTTTTGGCATAGAATTCTTGCCAATTTTTTGTCTGCTTGTTCTTCCTGTTACTAAGAGAGCAGTGTTAAAATCTCCAGCCAAGATTGTGAATATGTCTTCTTTTGGTTCTGTCAATTTTTGTCTTGTATATTTTGAAGCTATGCTACTAGATGTATACACATTTAGGATGATCATATCTTCTGGCAGATTGACCCTTTTATCACTATGAACATGTCCTTCTTTATGTCTAGTAATGCTTCTTGCCTTCAAATCTATTTTGTCAGACGTTAGTGTAGCTATACTGGAGTTCTTTTGTTAGTGTTTATGTGGTACATCCTTTTCTGACTTTTTCTTTCAACGATTTCTGTTCTTTTATATTTAAGGCATGTCTCTTGTATCATATAGTTAAAAATAAAATCCGGTAATAATGTTAATTTGAACATTTAATGAATTATGATATATTTGAGTTTAAGTATATCAAGTGACTGTTTGTTTTCTCTTTGACTCCTTGTTCTGTTTCTTTTATTTTCTTCTTTTGCCTACTTTTGGATTAAGTATTTTTTAGAATTCCATTTCCCTGCTCTGTTAGCTTGTTCGTTTTGCATTCTTTCGGAATTCCTTTTATGGTTGGCAATTTGCATTTTCGACTTATAAAGTACTTGTACCACTTCCTGGGCAATGAAATACCTTGAAACACTTTAGTTCCATTTACTGCTCTCTTAACTTATATACTCCTATTGTCATGCTTTTAACTATTATATCTCTCTATATTTTATTCCCTGGAAAACTTTATTGTTGCTCTACATAGTCAATTTTCATTTAGAGTTACCAATTCTTTTTGTCATTTCATTCATTTCTGCTTCTCCACATTTCCATCTGGGATAATTTTTCTTCTTTTAGTATTTTCTTTCTTAATTTCAACTTTTTTGTTGAAGTGTGACTGGGTGCTTCCCAAGACCCATGTCCTTGGTGGACCCTGAACTCCAATCTCATTTCTCCAATCCTAAGAGGCCACTTAGCCACTCAGCCCCTGGCCACTGCTGGGAAGCAGCAGGTGCTTCAGGGAGGAACACTGCTCTTTCTGGGGTCACCTCTCCACACTCCCATGCAGGATCCTCACCCTTGAAGCCTTCACTGCTTTTGTAAAGCCTCCAATGCTGCTGGGAAGTTTCAGCCACAAGAAGATAGTCTGATATTGCTCAGATTAGAAATCTTGCCTTGTTATTTTTTGATTTTGCGCTCCTGACCAATGGCTGGGGAATGTTCAGTTTGTGTGGAACTCAACGACAGTCTTATCAGCATTGCCCTCATAATCTATCACAAATGTACACACATGGCTATATATTTATCTATGTACACACACACGTATATATGTAAAACTATACACAGAAACATACAAAACACACTTGTATCAAGGCATACATAGGACCTTTTCTCCTGAACGATTTGGAAAAGCATAGAAAGTTCTTGTTTGTCAGCTACTTATAAAGCCTTACATCATTGTTTTCTGAATGATTTCTATGGTGTGTGAATGTCCCATATGATGCTAATAGAGTGTCTTTGCTAAAATAGTGCCAAGGTCAGTAAACTTGGGAAATGACATGGGATCCTCTCCTTGGAGACACCAGCACATATGAGCGTGGTAAAGACTCTGAAACATGTATATAAACTTGTTCTATTATGAAATCTTTTTTTGAGAGAATACCTATTTCCATCTCCTGGGATACCAGAGTTCTGTAGGTAAACCTTGGAAAACACTGCTTTAGAGCAAACCCCAATCCACAAAATCCTACAGTGATAAGTATCTGCTATTCAAGAGTCTTCATCCTCACAAAGATGAAGTCCTGTTCAGTGTTTTCTCAGACATGGGGACTCCAAGGAGAGTCTGGAAGTATGAATATTAGGTGTTGGGTTTGCAGGGTTTGAGCCCCTCTGCTACTCATTGGTTAAAACAGAAAGGCAGGACTTGGGGATTTAGTCATTTCCAGCTCTTTGCCTGTTTCTACCTCCGAGTGTGAAACAATCTGCTTGGGTTCTCTTTGTTCCAGCTCAGCTCAGCATGGGGCACTCATGTGTGTCCATGGCAATTGATTTTTGACTCCCATAAACTTTCCCTCACTTCACTTATGTCTTGGAAGCCTTGCTGCCCCTCTGTGCAGGTGAGAGGGTGAGACAGTTGTGGCAGAATATGCAGAGCTTCTCTTCAGAAGCCAAGAGGCCGGGGTTCAAGCCCTGGTGCTGAGTGACCTTGGGAGAGTTAACCGTGGAGTAGCGGTGAGAGCACGGGCTTTGGTTTCAGATACACTTGGCCCTTTCACTTCCTTGCCGTGTGATCATGGGCATGTCACTTCACTTTCCTGTACTTCAGTTTCCTTACCTGTCAAATGGGGACAATAAAAACAGGCACCTCACCTTCTCCTTGGGGTGAGAAAGAAATAAGATAATGCATGTCAAGCACAAGACCTGGAACACAGTAGGCACCTGGCAAATGTCAGCTCTTACAACTCTTCATCCAGCCTGACTCCTTCACCTGGGCTGCAGAAGAAGCCCAACCTCTCAAGATGCTTGAAAATCAAGCACAGTTCTGACTGTGAGAAAGAGTTTTGTAAACTCTTGGAGACAATAGAAAATTCATGCAATTGAATTTTTATTATTGCCCTTAACGCTGCCTCATCCCTCTGGCTGGGCAGGGCAGGGTGTGTGGGGAACACACCAGCCTCCTTCCCTACTCTTAGGCAGAACCATTTCTCCATTACAGAACATTGGCAAGAAGATGTCCTGTCAGCAATTCATTGCCAACTTGGACCAGCTGAATGATGGCCAAGACTTTGCCAAAGACCTGCTGAAGGTATTATCTGCTGAGAGTCCCCATCCCACTAGCTGCACCCTGTGTGGATAGAGAGGAGAGAGGTCTCTGCCCCATGAAATCCTGGCATTCCAGGCCCTTAACACAGGGTGCAGGGCCATGATGACAAAGTTAGAAACCACTGAGCTCAACATTTGGCTGTTCTGTGTTCCCTGAGTTAGGCAGAGGGGAAGGCTCTGTGAGATTTGTTTTTAGTACTCCATTATCACCATTACTGTCACAGTAATAATCAACACTGCTACCAACTGTCACAGCTGCCACCCACCACAACCGCCACCACCACCTTCACCACAAACATCATTATTGTCACCACAAGGAAAAGCCCCCTCTTTCCTTCAACGTCACCAGGAATTAAGAGAATCCAGTTTTCTTTTGAACCTGAAGTGAAGGGTGGAACTCTAGCCTTTCTAGTCTGATTGTTTCTGAACTGAGGAAAAGGAGCAGGTTTTTGGTGGGTTGGTGATGGGCTCATTTTTATTATTTATGTATTTTTGAGACAAGATCTTATTCTGTTACCCACACTGGAGTGCAGTGATGCAATCAAGGCTCACTGAAGCCTCAAACTTTTGGCCTTGAAGGATTCTCCTGCCTCAGCCTCCCAAGTAGCTGGGACTATAGGTGCATGCCACTGTGCCTGGCGATTTTTATTTTTATGTTTTTTATTTTTTATTTTTATTTTTGTAGAGCCTGGGGATCTCACTGTGTTGCCCAGGCTGATCTCAAACTCCTGGGCTCAAGCAATCCTCGCACCTCAGCCTTGCAAAGTGCTGAAATTATAGGCATAAGCCACCACACTCAGCCAGCTTCATTTTTAAATAGTGGGTTTGAAGAATCTGATAATACTACAGGGGTAGTTGAATAATGAGTTCGGAGGTCTCCATCCAAACCCCAATGTTCCATAGAACATTGTCTCCGTCACTCTTCTTACTATATTATATTCTTCACCATTGAGAAGCATTTGTTAAGAACATATTTGTGAATCAAACAATCCCAGTCCCACTATCCACCTATCCATTTCTCCCCATCTACTCATTCGCCTATCTACCCACTTCTGCACCCATCCACTCATCCTCCCATGCATCCACCCAGCCACTCAATCATTCACCTACCCATATACCCACCCATTCACCCATCACCTATATATATATCCCCAAACCTCCCCTTCCCACTCCCCACATAGCAGCCACTCACCCATTCACCTTTCACCCACACAGACACCCTGTACTCTTCAAACACTCCCTCGTCTACTCACCTCGACAAACATCTCCACATCTACTCACCCATCCCCCTACCTCCTATTCCCCACCCATTCACTTACTCACCAACCCACCCACCCATTCATCCTCAAATCTATCCACCCAATCATTTACTCAATCATCCACCCAACACCCTGACATTCATTTGCCCACCCACATCCTCATGCATACACCCCTAAATCTTCCTCATGTACCCTCTATCCACCCACCCATCTTCTATTCATTCACCCATCCACCTGCCTATTTCCCCACCCATCCTTCCATCTTCCACCTGTCCACTTCCCCATCCATCCATTCACTCACCCATCCTCCCATTCATCCTCCCATCCATTCATCTACCCTGTTGAGCACTTGCTGTATGTCAAGTTCTGGATTATGCACTGGAGATTCAGTAGTGAACAAATGGACAGCCTCTGACCTTGTGAAGCTTACAGTCTCCTACGGGAGATTGACATTAAGTGATCACATAATTAAATACCACCCATCCATACATCCACCCACCCACTCACTTACCCATCTAACAAATAAGTATGAATCAAACACCCACTTTGCCCTACTGGCTGAAAAGGTGATCTCTCACTGTACCCACATTATTGGTGGTAGATGGGGGTTTCTTTGACTCTTCACCTGAATTCCTCCCTCTCTCTTTTCCCTCTCCCAGACCCTTTACAACTCCATCAAGAATGAAAAGCTGGAATGGGCCATGTGAGTAGTGCCTACGGGCACAGGTATGGGGAGCTTGCATCCCTGGGAGGGGGAGTGTGGGGGTGCAGGTCCGTCATTCTGACCACTCTCCATGGTGCTGATCCCTCCCAATCCAGGGCCCGACACCTGTGTCTAGCTGGCTCACACCTGGTGTTGAATTCCTCTTTGGATTCATCTTCTGTATTGAGAAAAAGAGTGCAATGTTTGCATTGTTATGGAATAGGTTGAACTGTGACTTTAGTTCTATGATGTCCACAGCTGGTTTTCTATATGGGGATAGTGTTCCAATTCCCATTGATGACCACTCCTTTCCCTTTGGGAAGTAGGCAGACAGGAGGCATGAGGCCCCTATAACCTGTAGAATATGTCCACGTTTAAGTGGTGACTGTTACTGACAGTGGGAAGGGGAGAGTGCCCTCTAACTTCTTCCCCTGCAAAGGCAGTGAGACCTGTAGGTCTCATCAGGAAAGAGGGATGTTGACCTTGCTGTCTGGGGAGACCGTGAAAGGCTCTGCTGTGCTCCCCAGGGCAGCCAGGTCCATGTAGAGGCCTCAGGCAGGGATTGGCAGGAACTCCAACCCCACAGGGTAAGAGCTGGCACTCTTCTGCCAGGGCTCTCGTGGGGGCCCAGACTTCAGGGTCTTACCTGCTGGCCTCCCTCTTTCAGCATGTTGGTGCGGTTTGTGCAGCAGCTTCAGTCTGGCCACGGTTAGTGCTCCCTGGGATGGAGAGAGGAAAAGGAAGACTGGGAGGGAGACCTGGAGACAGTAAAGTCTCCACATTTGTGATCAAGGGTGACATTTGGGACTTGGAGGACAAAAATCAAAGATCAGAGGTCAGAGGTCGGAAGTGGAGATGAGAGGAGGGGTCAGAGATCTGGATCTGTGGTCTGGAATTGGAATCTCTTCATCACTGCCTCCTGGGGCTGCTCTTCCTCCCTGACCCTGGATCCTGGATGGGAGGCTGGTGGGGAAGGCCGTGATGATTCGGGGCTGAGGCCTCCCTGGAGGTGGCGCTCAGGCCTAGTACTTCTCTAGTGATGAGGACGAGCTGAGGAAATCCCTGTCTGAGCTGGTGGATGACAAGTTCGGGACAGGAACGAAGAAGGTGACGCGAATCCTGGATGGTGGCAACCCCTTCCTGGATGTCCCACAGGCGCTCAGTGCCACCACCTACAAGCACGGCGTCCTGACCCGGAAGACTCATGCTGACATGGATGGCAAGAGGAGTGGGTGTCAGGCTGGGAGAGGGGCATGGGAGGGAGGCTGGCACAGAGGGGGGTGCCCCAGACCACTCCTTGGGGATGAACATACAGGTGGACATGTAGTGGGAGGTGGGGTTGGAGAGATTGCAGAGAGTGGCTGCAGCCACACTACTAGTGCCCTCCTCTCCAGCGCCCCGTGGGAGGCGTGGCTGGAAGAAATTCTATGCGGTGCTCAAAGGGACCATCCTGTACCTGCAGAAGGTGAGAGACTGCCCCAGAGACCTTACTCAGAAAGGGCCAGCTCAGTCCCATCCCGCCCCAGCCTTGTGGCACCCCAAGGGCCCCAGGCAGGACCTGGGAGTCAGGCACATGCTGGGTTCTTCCCCAGACTTGGGCCCACTCAGGGCTTTGGAGGTTTTTGGGAGAACTTGGTGCCCAGTCGCTCAGTGGACACTCAGCGTGAGGCCTGTTCAGGCCTCTGGGACAAACTGGGGTAAGGGGAGGGATGCCTGGATTCTTGTTGGGGTGGGTGAGGCAGCAGGAACAGAAAATTAAGGGAGCTATAGGGTTAGACAGAGAGGAGTGAGGGGAGGAGAGAGTGGAAGGTGTGGGTCAGTGACCCTAGCTCACCCATCCCGCCCCACCCAGGATGAGTACAGGCCTGACAAAGCTCTATCGGAGGGTGACCTGAAGAACGCCATTCGCGTGCATCACGCTCTGGCCACCAGGGCCTCTGACTACAGCAAGAAGTCCAACGTGCTCAAGCTTAAGACGGCCGACTGGAGGGTATTCCTTTTCCAGGCACCGTGAGTAGGAGCTGGAGCCCCTCACTCCCACCTGCGGCCTAGGGCCGCAGTGACGCAGCACACAACCCCTCTCCTTCCCGTGAGTCAGCAACAGAGCATGTGTATCCACATGACCCAGACCGACAGCTGGGTCCCCCCAAAGCAGCGGTTCTCAATGTGTGGTTCCCCTCAGCATCACTTGCAGTCTCTCTGGCCCTGCCTTAGACCTACTGAACCCGAAGCTCTGGGATGGCTCCAGCAACGGTGTTTAACAGCCCTGCAGGGGCTGCTGAGTGCGCTGGGGTCTGAAATGTGGGGCAGGTGGCATCTTTATGAATCATCCTTCGCTTTAAATGTGGGAAAGATGCACCCTCCAGGTAACCTGTAAGGCTGTCCTTCTACCACCTCTCGCCTTCCTATGACTTGAGACTGGAGTGCACATGAGCTTGCAAGGAGGCAGGCTGGTGGATGAGGCCTCAGGATCACAGTGCCAGTGCTGGGCAGGCAGCAGGGGAGGGCAGGAGGACTGTGAGGGTCGCCTAGTTGCCATTGCCTCTGATGATCCCCAGTCCACGGTCATTCCCACCCATTCACTCCAGGGCCACTAGCTGTGAACCTGGGAAGTTTGATTTTCACATGAGAATCCCGGTGTGCCTGGGAGCTGGGATAGAAAGGGAGCTCCCTGCATAGCTCTGGCCAGGCCCATCCAGCCCCCAAGCGTCCTCCCTCTCTCCTTTACCCACTCATCTAGAGGTAGTGGTGCCTTCTTAGTGACAGGCCCAGTGCTGGATATGTGATGCTGAGTAGGGGACAGGGAGTCCTGTGTGAGAGGCCAGCACCCTCTCCCCGTCCTGTCCCCAGGAGCAAGGAAGAAATGCTGTCCTGGATCCTCAGGATCAACCTGGTGGCAGCCATCTTCTCTGCCCCAGCCTTCCCAGCCGCTGTCAGCTCCATGAAGAAGTTCTGTCGTCCCCTGCTGCCCTCCTGCACCACCCGCCTCTGCCAGGTACATGCTCCTGGGTCAAGATTTTGCCTCCCTAGGCTGCCATCCTCAGCCCAGGCCCCCGTCCAGCAGCCCCACCCCAGCTCTGTCTCTAGGCTGGGTGATCCTGGGCTGAAGGACACCAGAGAAGGACACTTCTTCTCTCCATCCGATGCACCCCACCCCCACGTCCAGATGGGGAGACCAAGGAACGTCATACAGGGGCCGTGGCTGTGGCAGTTGGCATGGAGCTGCCTCTCTGCTAGTGCATCCCTGTGGATGTGACTGAGAGTTGGTGGTCTTGTGTGCACCTGGGCACAAATGCAAGAGACTGTGTCACAGGGAGCTCACACAGGTGACACCTGGCTGACTCTTCATTCAGTGCTCTTTTGCTGCCCTCACCTATCCTTAAATGTTTTATTTGTAATCCTAGAAAACCCAGCTCACCCATGCTGCAGGCTCTCAGGGCTGCTTTGGAGAGGACAGGAGAAATGGTGGCCCAGAGCTTGAGAGGTAGAGGGCAGCAGAAGCCCCACACTTCCTCTTTGCCAGTGGTCTTTCCCACTAGGCCTTGTCCTGGGTCTCCCCACTGAGCTCCTGGGCTCCTGCTTCTGCCCAGAACCCCTATGCAATGCAGGTACACCATGTATGTGCACACACCACACACATTCATGTGTGTAAACACACAGGTGGTGACTCATACACATGTACGCATGAGCACACAGCACCAGGGGGCCTGGCTGTCCTGTAGTGGGTGGGATGTGTGTGCGCTTGCCCATCAGTGACAGTGTCTCCGCCTGTCACTCCACCAGGTGTGATCCTGGGTCTGTGACCATTGCGTGTGTCTGGGCATGAATGTAAGAGAACACGTGTATCATAAGGAGCAGGGGATACCTGGGCTAGGCTGGCCTTGGTCCGGGGTGTTTGTGTGTGCACATGGGAGTGCATGTGAGCTGGGTTGTGTGTGTGGGTCATTGTGTGTCTGTGTCAGGGACTGTCTATGTCCACATATAAGCGTGAGCATCTCTTGTCTCCCGAGCTAGGGGGCATCGAGGAAAGCTGATGCTGATGGGAGCAGCAAGAGGAGGAAGGGAGGTGGGAGGAGGAGCATGCCCTCGGGTCCAGAGCCTGGCTCTATCACCACAGTTTGGTGACCCTGGCTAGGCCTTCATTTCCCTCTGGTGGAGCAGCTCCTGGTAGAACAGGATTTGAGCCACTCCGTGACATCCTGAGAGTAAGGCCTCACAGTCCACGATTTGCCTTCCCAGGAGGAGCAACTGCGGTCTCATGAGAATAAGTTGAGACAGCTGACTGCGGAGCTGGCTGAACACAGGTGTCACCCAGTCGAGAGGGGCATCAAGTCCAAGGAGGCCGAGGAGTACCGGTTGAAGGAGCACTATCTCACCTTCGAGGTGAGCCTTGAGGGGCTGGATTGCAAAGCCCAGTGCCCTGCTCTTTCTCCTTCCTGTCTGGCCTGATGTGAGACTGGGGAGGTGAAGCCTACTGATAAAGGGACTTGCTCATGTGGCAGCTGGCAGGGAACAGGGTCCCCTGACCCTTAGTCCCCAGTCCTTCCAGGGTGCCAGCCTTCCCTGACAGGGGTGAGGGGCTGAAGTTCAGACGAAGGCCCTCAGATGCTGCCAAACCTTCCTCTTAAATGTTTGCCCTGATTTCTAACCCCTTTAATAATTTGTGAATGTACTTATTTCTCCATGCTCTCACCAGCACTGGGCATTGCAAAACGTTTTAATCTTTACTAACCTGATAGGTTTAACAATTAGTATCTCATTACTTTTTTTTTTTTTTGAGATAGAATCTCACTCTGTCGTCCAGGCTGGAGTACAGTGGCATGATCTTGGCTCACTACAAACTCTGCCTCCTGGGTTCAAGCAGTTCTCCTGCCTCAGCCTCCTGAACAGTTGGGATTACAGGCACGTGCCACCATGCCTGGCTAATTTTTGTATTTTTAGTAGATATGGGGTTTCACCATGTTGGCCAGGCTGGTCTCGAACTCCTGACTTCAGGTGATCCACCCGCCTTGGCCTCCCAAACTGCTGGGATTACAGGTGTGAGCCACCACACCCAGCTTCATTACTATTTTAATTTGGATTTAAAAACATTTTAATTGCAGTAAGACATGTAATATAAAATTTACCATCTTCACGTGTATAGCTAGCAGTGTTAAGTCTATTCACATTGTTGTGTAACTAGTCTCCAGAATTTTTTCCTCTTCCCAAACTGAAACTCTGTACACATTAAATGATAACTTTCCACTCTCCCCTCCCTTCAGTCCCTGGCAATCACCATTCTACTCTCTGCCTCTATGATTTTGATTACTCTAAGTGGAATCATACACAATTTGTCTTTTTGTGATTGAATTATTTTACTTAGCATAATGTCCTTAAGGTTCATCCATGTTGTAGTGTGTGTCAGAATTTCCTTTCTTTTTAACCTATTTATGTTGGAGGTCAAATTTTTTTTTGATGAAAAATCAGACCTTGGAGATGACCTTGAGCAGTATGATATAAATAACTCCCATGAGTTATTTCCAGTAACTCCAACGTTCCAATAATGGAACACTAGGCATAAATGGGATGAGGCTGAATAATATTCCATTGTATGTATACACCATATTTTGTTTACCCGTTTATCAATCAGTGAACACTTGGCTTACTTCCATCTTTTGGCTATTGTGAAAAATGCTGCTATGAAAATGGGTATACAAATATCCCTTCAAGACCCTGCTTTCAACTCATTTGGGTTTATAGTTAGAAATGGTCTTGCTGGATCATGTGGTAATTTTATTTTTAACTTTTTGATAAACCACCAGCTTTCCATAATAGCTGCTCCATTTACATTCTCACCAGCAGAGCACAAGGGTTCTGTCTATTTCTCCATAACCTCACCAACATGTATTTTCTGCTCTTTTGATAGTAGTAAGAGTGTGAATTGATATCTCACTGTGGTTTTGACTTGCATTTCTCTAATGACTAATGATGTTGAGCACCTTTTCGTGTGCTTGTTGGCCATTTGTATGCTTTCTTTGGAGAAATGTAGATTCAAGCCCATTTAAAAAATTTGGGTTGTCTTCTGTTGTTGCATTCTGAGAGTTCTTTATATATTCTGGATACAAGACCCTTATCAGACATATGACTTGCAAATATTTTTCTCCCATTCTGTAGGTTGCCTTTTCATTCAGTTGACTGTATCCTCTCATGTACAGAAGTTTTAAATTTTGGTGTAGTCCCATTTGTGTATTTTTACTTTTGTTGATTGGGTTTTTGGTGTCATATCCAAGAAATCATTGCCAATTATTTGGATTTTTCAAATTGTGAATGAAGTTTATGTGCATGTCCCGTGTTTATTTTTTAATTGGACTGTTCATCTTTTTAACGATTTGTGAAAGCTCTCTGCATATTGAGGAAATCAGTCTTTTGTCATACAAAGTGCACATACTTTTCTCCTCTTTTGTTGTCTTTTGACCTTGTGTTTGGCCTTTCCCCAGAAAAGCCGTTATGAGACCTATATCCACCTCCTGGCTGTGAAAATCAAAGTGGGCTCAGATGATCTGGAGCGGATTGAGGCCCGGCTGGCCACTCTGGAAGGGGATGACCCTTCCCTCCGGAAGACACACTCAAGTCCTGCCCTCAGCCAGGGCCATGTGACTGGCAGCAAAACCACAAAGGATGCCACTGGGCCTGATACTTAGCTGACATGGATGTGCAGACCCCAGGATGGGCAGATGTCCCCAGTGGGGTCGGTGAGCACAATTCCAGCCAGGGGCCACTCGGACCAAGCTCCAGTCAGTTGATGGGCAGCCAGAGGGGTGCAGAAAACCTGTGGGCCCAGGAGATGGAGATGCCGTTTGTGGCGTTGATCTCCTTGCGTCCTTGGGCATCTCTGGGCATCAGACCCTCTCCCTGGCCTTTGTTTTCCTCTCCACCATGGAGCCTCATTTTGTAGGCCAGTTGTGTACATGCTCTAGACACCACCTCGCTGGAGAAGCTGGAAGGGCTGTTGTCTTCCCAAGTCTTTCTCTTCTCATCAAGCTCCTCTCCTCATCTTCTTGTGTGTGAGGGCAGGTCTTGACTCCAGGTCTCAGCTGGAACCCCACCCTTTCTCCTCTTCCTTCCTCTGAGTTGACCAGCAGCAGGTCTGCAGACCACCAGCACCATCCTCTCCTCCCTCCTCCCAGCAGCCTCCAGAACCATGCCCAGGTCTCCTGCCTCACATCACAATAATCTGGGACCCAGGCTTGTGCCCTTTCAGTGTCAAGTTGACTCCACTCACATGTACGTCCACCTCTTTTCATCCATTGAGATCACACTGTCTCCTTTTTATACAGACACAAATATACATCTATAAGAATAATGTATACATAAGGAAACCCTGAAAGATGGTTTTGGAACTGAAATCAGTTAGAGGATGAAATCAGATATAGGAAAAGCCTATTTTGGAGCTTCTCCTGTTAGGAAGGATGGCTGTACCTGGCCCCCTGGCATTCCTGACGCCCTAGGAGGGAAGGGGGAGGCAGTGCTGGTCTCCCTTGCCCTGTTTTTCCCTCTTCCAGCTGACCTGTGACTTACACTGCTCTTACAGTTGATACTTTTGGAAAAAATAGAACGTGTATGCACCGCCCCATTTGTCCCATGGATATCCTGGGGTGTGAGTGGGATGGGACCACAGCCCTGTTTATATTTGGGTCTTTATGTTGGTGCTGCCAGGTCTCTGAGCTCCAGAGGTGGCCTCTTGGACAGATCTACTGCTATAGGAATAAAAGACACTCTGCCTCACAAATGGCCGCTTGTCAACAAGCCCAAAGATGCTTGTCGGAGGACGGTTATGGAAGCCATTAATTCTTGGTCGTGGGAAAAGGTGGAATGACAAGTTACTGATTGTTTTTCTGTCGCTATTTCTTTCATTTGTCTAGTGAATCAGAAAGGCTTAGCCAAGGCCGCATCTGGGAAGAGTGGAGAAATTTGCCACTTGACGATCACGGATTAGCTAGCACCTTTAAGCCCTGCATTTTTCCAACTGACAAGTGGGTGGGGGCGATGGCACATTCAGTGAGGCTATGAAGAGCAAATCCTCTCTATTGTTTAAATAGATTACTGTAGTTTGGCCAGCAATTTGGCATCAGTGGTAACATACTTAGTTAATAAAATAAGCCAGGCTTGCAACTAAGTATCTAACTTTACAGGCCCACTCACATTTGAGGCAAGGGACTTTTGATTATGTGGAGAGATGTAATGATTTAAATTCTGATTATTTAAGTTGGATCAGCTGAAGTGTGTTTTAGAACCAAACCATCTGGCCCCTTCGTTTTGCTCAGAGGAAGTAAACGTTCACTTAAATGAAATTGAAAACGCAATGTGGCACTACAAAAGAGCTCTCTGTACTTTCTCCACGCTGCCTCAGAAGTCCTGTGATTTTCGGGGTCAGTGTCCCACCCTTCACTTCCTGAGGGTGGGTGAGTGGAGAGCAGAGCCGGGAGCTCTGGCAGCTGTGGACAGATGTGCTTCCTGAGCACGGGTTGTGCCTCCCATCAGTAAAAAAATGTTTAGTTCACTTCCTTAATTGTATAATTATTTATTTGTAAATTATATACATGTACTACTGTACTAAAATATCATGTACATTATAAAACATACACAAAAATAGAAATTTAAAAAAGATGAGATGAAAATAAATCTAAGTCAAAGTTCTAATATTTCTTCCTGCATTCGAATGGATCCTCACCCCGCACAACTGCTGTCTCCAACATGCCCATTTTCTAGGACTGTCCAAATCCAGGACTGGTGACATACAATAAGTGGCTTGCGCCACCTGGTGGTCCTGGGAAGTGGCCTCGGGCTCAGGGACTTCTGGGGGCTGTCCCTTGAGGGCGGTGTCTCTTGCGCCTTCATCCTCTCATTCAATGAGGGCCAACTGTGTGCTGCACGCTGGGCGGGGTGATGGGAATATGGTGGTGGGAGGAAGTTTGACTGCCGGTCGTCATGGGGCTCACAGTTTCGTGGTGAGAACAGGCAGTTACCATTACCACTTGGGTCTCTGGGAGGGGCTGGAAAGAGAAGCCAATAAATGACCTGGAAGAGAAAGAAAGAACTGGGAAAGTGGGGACGAAGCCTCTGACTTGGGAAGCTGCCTGAATGTCGTCCTATATGTTCCAGTGACAGGGCAGTGGTAGGGAAGTAGCTTGACAGGACTGCGACTCGTCCTGAAAGGCCACTGGGAAGGCTCCCCAAGGCAGAGGTTTGAGAGGCAGAGTGGAGAAGGGGCCTCTCTGGCCACATGTATTCCTGCATCCTAATCATACCTGTGAAATGAATGGGTGGATGACACGTGAGGAAAGAACTCTGTTAGGTTCTGGCCTTGGACTCTCGGCACGTATGGCAGGTACTGTAGGATTCAGAACATATAATGAAGGTACCTGATGCTCATGCAAAGGTTGGTGAGTTCACCAAGAGGTCATTCAGAATCAACTGAGGGCCACATAGAGATTGGTGTTCTCATTGCGTAGCTTCTGACTCTAAAATTTAGAAGGCAACAGCAACCTAGAGCCCTCGGAAAGGTCACATGAGGACAATAAGCTGGATCAGACAAAGGTCAATGGGTTCCCCAAGAGTTCATATGGAGTTAATTTGGAATCCTATAGAAGCCACAGGTCACATAGAAGAATAACTGGCTCTCAGAGAATTTTAAAGCCAACCACAAACCCAGAGACAGCAGCGGGGCCTGGATGAGATCAACAGAAGGGGGCCGGGAAGGGCCAGTGAGTTGCAGGTTTATGCAGGATTGAGTTCATTATTTTCCTTTTTAAAATTTTTTGTAGCAGGTACTTTTTCCCAGCGCCCCCTTAATGAATACAATAACTTCAGTTTGTTCTTTATTTTTCTCCATCGCCGCCCTCTCATCTAGTTTCTGTCACTCTGGCTGTGTGATACAAGGATGCAAGGCACAGGAGATTGTCATCACCACCATCAAATCAGCCATGTAATAGGCATCTATCACGTGCCAGCATCAGCACTGTACTTTATAATCTCCACAGCAACCTTTTGGAATAGGTATTTGCATTACCCATTTCCCAGCAAGGAAACTGGCCTAGAGACATCACACGGCTAGAAGGCGCAGAGCTGGAATTTGAACTTATGCCCTGTTGATGCCGAAGCCCTCTCAACCCGCAGCCTCTCTGTCCCTCCCACCTGTAGGTCTCTGACTACACACATCCTAGGGGGATTCACACCCACCCACACCCACACAAACACACAGGCGTAGGCAAGTGTGCATGCCAACCACCTCAGCTGTTTGGGTGGAAGACGTCCATGTGTCTGACTAGAACCGAATAGTTTCCGGTGCCGGACACCGGTTTACTAAATCAGCTGATGAGGGGAAAGGCTTTTGAACCCTGGGCCTCTATCTGCCTTCTCCATACTGAAATCATGTACTTTCCCTCAGGGCTGCGGGTTTAGACAGGCCTGGCTCCGAGGGGGTATAAAGTTGGGGAAAGAGCAACACCCTGTGGGCTTATGAGCTGCAGCAGCTGTGGTCCTCCTGGCAGCTGAGGGTACCTGTCAAGCCACTTTCCATGTCCAGACTTTGCCTGTGACATGCCTCAGGGTCCAGGGGTCACCCTGCCTCGGCTGTGCTAGTACCAACCCCACAACCCATCCCTCCTCACCCACCTAGGCCGGCAACTGTTGTCTCAGTCCGGCCCATAGATCCGGGGCAGGAACTGGGCCAGAGTTCCAACGCTGAGTTTGAAGCAATTTGTGTCAGTCCCTTGGCCAGGTTCCCCAGCAGCTGGGGGGACACCTTGTAAATATTCTTGGGAGTGGGAGGAGGGTTGGAGTCTGTCCTGGGAGCTGGGGCCGGGAGACTGGAGAGAGGGTCACTTCCTTCCAGGGACTGCCCTGGCCCTCTCCAACCTCCAGGCCAGCATCATCCACATCCACCATGGGACTTCGTGCTCTGACTTCCCTCCTCATCTGGGGCTAGGCACACACAGTCAAACAGGAGTTATTTCTGATTTTATTTATAATATAAAAATGTTCAAGTGTCGACAGTCAGGTGTTCAAACATTTCAGGACAGGATTCCCATTTGTTTCTGTTTGGGATTTTTTTTTTAAACAATTACCTTTTTGACAAATTAGCAGTGGACCCAGTTTTTGGGGGTGGGAGGGCAGGACCGGAGACAAGTGGAAGTCACAGGTGGGTTGGGGGCTGGGAGGCAGCCTGTGAGAAGGAAATGGTGTTACTTTATTGCTAAAAGGGGAATACACTGTCGAGTGGCTCTTCTCGGTCCCAGCGTGACCATGCATCCAATCTAAAGAATCTGAAATGCAAAGGACATGCAGGTGTAAAATAGAAAAGACGACCTGTAAACAAAGGTGCTGCAGAGGACGGAGGGGCGTCCTGGAGGCTGTGGGGGACAGGAGCCGCCAACATTGGGCCCCTGGCAGAGCTGCCACCTCCCTGGGCCCAGGCTCTTGGCGAGACCTTTCTCTGCCCTCCTCCTCTAACAGCTGTGAGTAGCCAGGGCTTCCCCATTCCGGTAGCTGTGTCTTTATCTCCCCCTGGAAGTTACCCCAGCTCCAGCTCCAAGCCTAGGGTCCTGGCCCTCTCCTCCCAGGGGTCGGGAACTCCAGCTCTTGCCTGGGAGCAAAGCTACTTCTGTCCTCAGTTCTTCGTCAGGGCCAACCCCTCACGGCCCCCCACCCTCGCCCCCACCAGAACCCCGCAGCCTCTTCTCTCCCTGCTGTCACTCCCAGCACCCCGTAACCAAGACCTCTCCCCCGGAGCCCCAGATGAGCGTACAGCAAAAGGCACCACAAAATAGGTTTCTATTAAAGAGTCAAAAAATTGGCCCATCTCTCTTTTTTTTTGTTGTTGTTTCTTTTTTTTTCCGAAGCTGTAAATCAGGATGTTACATATAAATAGTTTCCCTATAAAAACGTCTTTGCCGTTAGCTAGTATTATAAGACAATTTTTGCTAAAATGAAAATAAAACATTTTGTTATACTTTTTTCCTTTTATAGAAAATAAAAATATTTTTATTTATTTTTTCCTCCTTTCTCTCCAGTAGGCGGTCTCTTGTCTCCTTAAAGACAGTGGGGCGGGCGAGGCGGAGGTGCGCGCGGCGGGGCCCTAGAGTGGCGCCGAGTCCTGCTTGGCCCGCGGGGACGGCCCGCGGCTGTGTCTGCTGCTGGCCCGCGTGCTGTGGCTGTCCAGGGAGTAGTAAGTCCTACTGTCGGCCGCCGGGCACAGTGGCGGCGAGTCCGAGCGCAGCGCGTCGTGCGCCGCGCGCAGGCCCAGGAAAGGCGTGCTCTCGGCCGCCAGCGCCCCGTCCGCGTCGTCCGCGTCGTCGTCCGACGCCGAGGCCGAGCCTCCCCCCGAGCCGCTGCTCAGCGACAGCGAGTCCCGCGCCGCTCTTGCGCGCTGCGCCGCCAGCCCGTTGAGGCGCGAGCGGCGCCAGCGCCGGGGCCCCGCCGACGTCCTGCGGGACGCGCCGCGCGTGCGCGGCCGCGGCGGCGGGGGCGCGCACTCCTGCGTGGTCTCGTACTCGTCGTCCTCGGGGATGCGGAAGGGGCTGGCTGGCAGGCTGCCCAGGCTGCCGCCGAGCGCACAGGTCCCGCGCCGCGGTCCGGGCCCCGCCGCGGGGTAGTAGTAGCTGTCGTAGCTGCGCTGCATGTCTGCGCCGGGCCCGGGCCCGGGTCCCGGGCCAGGGGGCGCCGGGTGCCGCAGTAACGGCTGCTGCTCCGCCAGGCGGTAACTGATGGGCGCGGCCGGCGGCAGCGACACGGCGTGCGCCGAGTTGGGGGACGTGATCTCGAAAGTTGGCACCTGCGTGGCCAGCGAGTAGTGGAAGTCCACGGGCGAGAGGCGCGCGGGCGTGGTCAGGGCCGACACGTACCTGCGGGGAGAGGCAGAGGCATGGGCCAGGGCCAGGCCGGGCGTAGGAGGGGTTGGGGGAGTTGGGGGTGGGGTACGGTGGGAGGGGCGGACATAGACTTGCCTTAACCTTGCCTGAGACCCCGCCTGCAAGAATGACGGCGGCAACCGTCAGTGGCCTTATGCAATTTCCTAAACCTCTCCGAGCCTCGGTTTCCTTATCTGTTACGCGGGCGTAACCATGGTGTTCATTCCATAGCTCTGTTGGGATGATGTATCAGGGGGATGTGTTAGCCCTTGTGCCTGACCCGGGTGAGCTTCCATGAATGGTCACTTGCTGTGGGAATGCTCACCGTCAAGGGGATAAGGCTCACACTGGGGTATAGTACATGTTCCATCTGGTTTAGTACGGCAGCTCTGTAAGACCCTTCCGCCAGTCCCATTCTACACACAGGAAACTAATACTCAGAACATTTAAGTGACTTTTTCAGGATTTACACAGCCAAGAAGTGGCAGAGGTGGGATGTGACTTGAGGCTGGGCAGGAACCAGGACTCATACTGCCCAATTCCAGAAGCCACTAGTCCCCATTCAGATACCCCTGTGACCTGGACTCACTGCCCCACAGGGGCAATTCCTTCCATGCCCTGATGGCTCCAGTGAGGGAAATACTCCTTATAGTGAAGTCAAAACCTGCTTCGGGGAGTACCAAAATCCCACTGAGGTGTCTCTGCTTGTGGCTACAGACCCATCCCCACACCACCAGCTCCTTCAGAAGTCTGGCCTTGCTAATATCTTCCAGGCTGGATCCCGAGTACCTGTCCCTTTTTGTGCTCACATCCCCCTTGTAAGCCCATCAGCCTTCTGCCCCACCGTTGTCACCTCAGGACGGGGGCCACCCACCTCCATGCTTCCCTTCCAAACTGCACAGCTGGGCACCTCACTGCTCTCTGGAACCAGCCTGGAGTCCCCATTATGATTTTTTCTGCATCGTCTGACTCTTCCCTCTTCCCGCTCCCACTGGCACGTCTAATTAACCACCAAGCCCTACCCATTCCCTTCTCTGGAAGCACACTCTCCACCCCATCTGGGGCCCAGCTGTTCACATATGGTCACCTGGGTCCACCCCAGGGTCTCTCCTCCTTCACTCTATGCAGTTCCCAGAGCAATCTTGTAAAGTCACAGCTCTGCTGAAGCAGGTCTTCCTGTTTACCCACGCAGGGTCAGTCTGTCTGGCCTCAGCTTGCCTGTTCAGGCCCAGCTCCTCTGCTCCCTACAGCCCACCCTGTTCCAGGCACCTCACTCATCAGCCCTGTTCTTAAGTGCCTCTGTTGGAACAGCTCAAGTTGTTCCCGGTGCCTGGAATGCTTTCTTCCTGCTCTCCTGCCTCTCCCCTTCCTACCACCCATTAAGGAGTCTCACTGCTGTGGTTATGATTGATAAATAGCTACACCTAGTGAGCATGAGCTCCATCCCAGGGATGAGGCAAAGAGCTCTGTGCACATGATCTCAGGTGGCCTTCACTTGAACCATGCATAGTAGCTATTGTTCTCCCTGTTCTACAGCTGAGGGAACAAGGTACAGAGGTGATCAGGCTGTCCCAAATCACACAGGTGGAGCTGGGCTTGGAAAACCTGGCTGCTTCCCAGAGCCTACAGTCAGACTGGGTCTCTCTGCCCTGCTGTGGTGTCATGTTTAGCACTTTCCATAGGCTGCTGTAAGCTTCCTTGGTTTGTTTCTGTGGCTAGGAGCTCCTCAGGAGCAGGAACCTGGCAGGCCATTTCTGGATTTCCAGGCAGGCCTGCCCAGCACAGGGCCTGGCATGGAGTAGGCTGAGTTGAGAGCAGGGGAATATCTGCTCCTGTCCCCACTCCCTGGTCTGGAGTTTTTAGTACCACTCATCTTTCCCTGCTCGCCTCCTACAGACCCCACTTACTGAGGACCACTCAAGGCTGAGCAAGGTGGCAGGGGTGCTGGCCCTTGTGACTCCTGGCTTGGAGTCAGGGAAGAAGGGGCGTTTTGTGGTTCTTACTGCATCCACTGCTTAGGAACCCAACAAGGCCTTGAACTGTGGGACCTTGTTGCTGATACTGCCAAGGCCTGCCATCATTCTTGGCTCATGTCCATCTTGTGCTGGTCAGTGTCCTCAAAGACAATCTCCCCTGCCACTCTTCATTCTACTCCATCTTCGTGTCTTTCTGTTCCTGCTGGGACATGGAGCTTCTAGCATGTATCCTGGTTTGTCCAGAATAGCCCCTGTTTGTTCTTTTTTTTTTTTTTTTGAAATAGAGTCTTGCTCTGTTGCTGAGGTTGGAGTGCAGTGGTTCCATCTTAGCTCACTGCAACCTCTGCCTCCCAGGTGCAAGAGATTCCCTTGCCTCAGCCTCTCAAGTAGCTGTGATTACAGGCATGTGCCACCATGCCCGGCTAATTTTTGTATTTTTAGTAAAGATAGGGGTTTCGCCATGTTGGCCAGACTAGTCTCAAACTCCTGACCTCAGGTGATCCATCCGCCTTGGCCTCCCAAAGTGCTGGGATTACAGGTGTGAGCCACCACACCCAGCTCCCTGTTTGTTCTTGATGTTCCAGTGTAACTATTAATAATGTCTTTTTTCTAGTGTGAAAAGTGTCCTGGGAGGACAATTAAATTAGATGGTCACTGTCCACTAGGGTCCACTGGCCTAACTCTAGTCCCAGTCTGTCATTAACATGCTGATGGCTCTGAGGAGGCCATTTCACCTTTTCCAGGACCTTGTTTTCCCATCTGAAAAATGGAGATTAGACTCTTTGGAGTGTTTCTGAGGGGCCCTAAGGGTCAGCCTTGGGCCAGTGGTGCCAGCCCTCTGGCTAAGTGGGCTGGGCGTAGGCCAGGGGGTAGGAACTGACCTCTCGCTGTGTGGGGAGTCGCGAAGGGAGTCCACGGAGTCATGGTAAGGTGGCACGGTGGCCCTGCACCGCTCCTCCAGGTTGTAGGCTGCTGCCCGCCTTGCCCGGGCCTCCACACATGCTGGGCTGTTGCATTTGCTGGTACCCACTGATGATAGCATGATCCCCGACTGAGAGTCGGAAGTCAGGCTCTCAGAACGTTCCAGGCTCCACGTGTGGCTCTCGTGTCTGGGAAAGCCAGATGGGGTGAGACGAGGGGTCAGGAAGGGGCAGGGCTGCCCAGCAGGTGTGGTTCCATGGACCTCCCTGGCTCCTCTTCCACCTCGAGCTCCCTTAGCTCAATGCCCTTCTCCACTCTGGGGTGATGTGGATTGTTGCAAATGCCCAACCCCAGTATTGGAAGAAGGAGGGCTGGGGTCCCATGCATGGGTGAGCTGTAATGTGCAGAGACCCATTTCTTTCCTCCCTGCAACCAGCCTCCCCCCAGCCTTACCTTAGACCTCCTGTCTGGGACCCTACCACCACTGTGGTCCTTAGCTACCTAGCTCAGAAGCCCAGCCCCAGGGGCCAGTATGTGAGGGCCCTGACTATTTCCTGGTGCTCCCAGGGAAGAAGGGAGCCAGCCATGTTATTTTTGAGCTGTCTGAGCCTTTGTGCTGTGTGGACTGGCCTCTGCAGTTCTGGAGAGGAGGCTAAGGTGTGCTGTGATTCCTGTGGCAAACTCAGGGGAGGGTATTGAATAGCTCTGGATGTCGGAGTAAGTGGGCACTTTGTGCCCGATGAAGTTTTTGAGTCTACAAGTTTCCATGGGCCTTGATGGTGCCTACCTGTGGCTGGAGGTGGGCGTGGCTGTGGAGCAGTGGTGAGAAGGAGAACAGGAGTGGCTCCCAGAGAAGGTAGTCTCAGTTTCTCTCCTGATGACATGGTCTGTGGCTGGCACGTTCTTGGAAATATACTGGAACAGACAGAGTTGGGTGAGAGTTAGTGACTGGGGACCAAATCAACTCTTTCTTGTTGGGGACAGGGAAGTGATGAGCACTGACTGAGCTCCTGGTTGGGGAGACCCACTGGGTGACAGTGACTTGATGTTGGGGCAGTGATGGCTCCAGCAAATCAACCCCCACCCCTTCCTTATGGAAGTGAGCAAAGCAAGGCCAGCCATCCTGATGAGGCAGTGCCTAGCAGGCAAGGCTGGCCATGGGACAGGCTGGCTGCTGCCCTGACCCATCCTTGCAGGGGGCATGAGAAGGCTGGCTGTCCACTGAGGGCTCAGAAGGGGGCTCAGGAAAGCCACTCACATCTGCCATCTGGATCTCCTCTGGGTCCAGCCGGGGGTGGCTGGGCCCATTGGCCAAGCTCCGGTTCTGGTGGGCCGGGCACATGTTCTGCCGGAGGTGGTTGTGCATCTGCTTCCGCTGTTTTCTGTACAAGGGAAGGGAAGGTGAGACTGGCATTCCCCCCACTTGCCAACGATGAACTTCCCTAGCTATCTCTCTAGGGAAACAGCTTTTCCCCCTGCCCAGGGCGGCCATGGCTACTGCTCTTCCCTGTACTCAAGCTGCCCTGCAGCATCACCACCACCTGAATCCAACAGGACCTGAGCATTGTGGCAGTGAGCTTGGGCTCTGCCCAGAGAGTAGAACTTCGCTCCTTTCTAGCTATGCAACCCCGGGCAAGTTACTTAAGCTCTCCATGTTTCACTTTTCCTCATCTATAAGACAGGATGATCATTTATCTGTTCCAAAGACTATTGATGATTAAAAGTATATGAAATATTCAAGCACAGTGCTGACTCCCTCTTTCTCTCCCTCATTCATTCATTTGGTATTTATTGAGTTGTCACTATGTGCCAGACACTGTTTTGGAGCAGAGAAGATAGATAGATAGATAGGGAATCCATCCTCCTGAAACTTGCAGGCCAGTAGAGGAAGCAGATGGTTAACACATAAACAAAGAAATGAACTAGATATTTTCAATAAAGTGCCATGAAGAAAATAAAGTGGGTGCTGTGGCTAGGGAGTCAGGGCCTGTGGGACTACTTCAGATTGGCACATATTAAATGCTCAATTTATTTGATATTAAATCTAATCATGTCCCTCCCCTGTTTAAGACCCTTCATTGTGAACTCATGGAGATAGAGAGTAGAAGGATGGTTACCAGAGGTTGGGAAGGGAAGTGGGCGGTTGGGAGGGAGGTGGGGATGGTTCATGGGTACAAAAACTAGTTAGAAAGAAGGAAAAAGACCTAGTATTCGATAGCATATGGGGTGACTATAGTCAATAATAATTTAATTGTACATTTAAAAGAGTATAACCGGATTGCTTGTAACACAAAGGTCCATGAGGACCCATCAGTTTGCTCAAGGTCACAAAGGATAAATTCTTGGGGGGATGAATAGAATACATGATATGATTATTATGCATTGCATGCCTGTTTCAAAATATCTAATGTACCCTATAAACATATACACCTACTAAGTACTTGCAAAAATGAAAATAAAACCCCTTTATTGGGCCTTAGTGTCCTGATTCTCTCCCAGCCCTGTCTCTCGCTGCCCACCCAGCACCCCAGCTAGCTGCCTCTGTGGTGAGCTTGTTTCTGATCCCCCGCTATACCCTGCCCTCTCTGGCCTCCTGGCCTTTGCGCATGCCAGGCCATTCACCTGGAATATCTCTCCTCTTCACATGCTAACTCTTGTTTACCTCTCAGGCCCTGGCCTAAATGCTGCTTCCTCAGGGAAACCCTTCCTGCTCCCCAGCCGAGGTTAGGTGCCTCTAAAAGGTGTCCCATGACACTGGACCACTTGCTCAGAGCACCGGCCATAAGCCTGAGGCAGGGCCTGGTGTCCAGCAGGCACTGAATGAATGTTTGTTGAAGAAGTGAGTAAATGCATTGGGGGCAGGACAGGCAGCTTGCTTTTTCTCCAATTCTTGGACTCAGTTTTCCCTCTTGGGCCCAGTCTCCTCTGGGCTCACTGGGCCCCAACTCCCTCCTCACCTTCCTCCAGACTTTCTGGTCCTGGATTCATTCAAGACAAGGCCAGCAGGACTTCAGATGCCACAGATGGGGCAGCATGAGTCCAGACCAGGGGCTCAGTCCCCAGAATGTTAGCTCTGTCCAGTCCAGACCCTTGCTTTCCAGATATGAACAGTTGTTACAAACCTGTCATCTTTCAGTACATCTTTCAGCACATCTATAGCCTTTGTTGGGTAAACCCAAACTCCCTAGCTCGGCATCCAAGGCCCTATGGTGCCATCTGGGTCCCAGCTATCCTTTTAGACTCATGCCCTCTTTTTTCCCGTCCCTGGCCCTTTGCTCCAGCTAGTCTGGGCTGCTCATGCTCCGGGAGTACAGCTGACCCTCATCTGTGCTGTCTTTTAGCTTGTACTGCCCGGCTCCCTCTCTGTTCCCTTATTCTCCTTGCCCCAAGGTTCTGCCCCTACCTCTCTTCTGCCCAGAGGGGGCCCAACCCTGCCTTCTCTGTCCTCTTGTGTCAATTGCTCCCAAGGTTGGGTCAGGCAGTGCTTTGAGGCATCTGTCTTTCTTTGGGAATGCAGCTGTCCTCTCTGCGCTCCTCCACAACACTACCCGGTGCCTGCCCACTTGACAGGGCGCCTGCTCCAGGAGCCTGTGGGGTCAGCTGCACGCTCCTGCTCAGGTCCTCAGTGTCCTTTGAGGTACATACCAGGATCATTCCCATGAGGAACCATCAATTTGCTCAAGGTTACATAGGAAATAGCAGAGCTGAATTTGAACCCAGATTTGTCTTCTTCCAAACCCTGTGCTCGTGACCATTCTTCCTCAGTGCCCTGGGGCCTGTCTCCCCAACCCTCTGCCTCTACTTCATTCTTGGAGGCCCATCCCTTGGCTTGGCCTGTCCCCAGCCCGAGTGCCTGACACTCACTTGGTCTTGCAGTAGGCCACCACACAGACGATGCCCACGACCAGCAGAGCCACGCAGATGCCCGTGATAGTCAGCACCCTCTTCTGGTACAGCTCTTCGGCTTCTGCAGAGGTAGGGGGGATGTGAGGGGTGGGGCAGGAGGCAGACCCCATGGGGATAGTGGTGCAGAGACCCCTTTGCTCCCAAAGCCATAGGCTCTCCCCAGCTCAGGTCCTGCCCAGCTCCTTTCCATTCCTTCTCTCCCCAGCCAGTTCCTTCCCTCCTGCACGCTCTCTTTTGCCTTCCACTCCCCCACAGCTCCCGCCCACCCATGGATCTGGTCACACACAACTCCCCCTGAGTTCCCCTCCCCAAGCCCCTTGCCTGCCCAGAGCACATGAGTGGAAAATGCAGGGGAATGGGAAGGGATGGAGTGGAGGCAAAGCTCCCGAGGCTGTAGAGCAGGGGAGGACAGCCCAGTCTGGTAGGCAACCCTGCCGTGCTCCACAATGGCCTGGTAGCTGCAAAGAACCTTGGTGGGCCAAGAGGAGTTGTTTTTCATGGTAGTGATCATGGGAATGCCTTTGTCTACCCCTGCAGCCTGGTCAGGGTGTGGCCCTGGCCCACACCAGGCCTGTTGTCTCTGCTTGTGAGAAGCCCGCCAGTGGCACCATGGACCCCTGGCATTTAGGAAAGTACTGGTGTGCAAGGAACAGCCCCCACCCTTGCTGAGGAGCTGAGCTAGGCTGGGCCTCAAAGCCCTCCCAAAGGCCAACTGTCCTCTTTACCCTCTGCTGCTACTGGGGCAACCCCCATCCTTCTAAAACAGAGAAAGCCAGGAGGAGGGAAAAGTAAAAGGTGACAGTGCTAGCTATAGTCAAGGCTACAGCCCAGAGACCCCACCCCTGCACACCACACCTGCTGACTGTCCCTCCACACTGTGCCCTCCTCCCAGCTCAGGGGGAAGTGGAGGCTGGACCTCAATGCCTTGGCGGAGCCCTGGGAAATGTCCCTAACCTCTTGGGCTTGCAGCATATCCTGCGGCAAAGGTGTACACACCAGGAAACACCCAGGGCTACAAACCCTCCAGACACACAGATATTTCTAACTATGCCTATCTGATTCACAGACAGACCCCTTCACTCACACACACCTGCACAAACATATGCACACACACACAGTTAATACACACTGCAGCCATAGGTGCATACACACGGCCATGCCCACTGACACACAGTCGGATCGAGTTGTAAACAACCAGACCTCCACCCTAGGTCCCCATCTCTTGGCTCTGTGCCCATAGCCCTGACTCTAGCTCTCACGCCCCATTCACCTGCCTCACAGTCAGGCATGTGTCTCCATCACTCCTCTGAGACCACTCTGGTCACAGGCACCAACAACCTCCAGGCCACCAAGTCCTGAGGTCACTTGCTTCCTTCCCAGCTGATCCCCTCCTTCTGGGGCCCACTCCCCCTGGGCTTTGGAATGGTTCTCTCCCTCCTACTTCACTGGCTGACCTGTCTCTGTCTTAGCCATGCTTTCGTCTCTTCTACTGGCTGGGAAGGTAGAAGGGCCTGGGCTCAGGTTTCTTTCTTTCCTGCACCTGCCCTCTCTCCCTTAGTGATTTAACTCAGACTCAGATTTTAAATACCATCTATTTGCAGACTCTCAAATTTATATGTCCTGCCCTGACTGCTCCCTGAAGTCTGATTGTGCCAGATGGCCCTCCATCGAGTCTGCACCCATTGGCAGCCTCTGTCCCATCAGACATGGATGACAGGACTGGTTCCCCTCACTCCATGCTGTTATCAGACTTGTTGAGTTTGCCAGTCCAGGGGGTGAACTGTGCTGTCTCAGTGTAGTTTTTATTTCCATTTCACTCACGAGTGAGGTTGAGCATTTTTCCTATTGGAGTCATCTGTGTTCCCTTTCTGCTTGCTATTCATGTCCTTTTCTCTGCAGGCATTTAATCAGTTGCATCCTGCTTGGGCCATGTTGGGCTCCAGACTCATGCATCCAAGGGTCACGACCAAACAGAACCCCTGATTCCTTACCCTCTTTCCAAACTCTTCTTCAACTCTTCCCAGCTCATGGGTGCAGCACCACTTTTCCTGTTGCTCAGGGCCCACACCTTGGGCTCATTCTTGATTACTCCCTTTCTTCCCACCTACCCTGATGCCAGATCCAGCTGCAAGTCTTCGCAGCTCCTCTTCCCAAGTAGATCCTGGGGCTGATTGAGCCTTACCATTTCCATTGCTTCCAACTTAGTCCAGGATGGTGTCACCTCTCACCTGGAGATGGTCACCTTCTGACGGGTCTTTCTGCTTCCACTCCTCCCCACCCTGCCCCCAGCCCAGGCTATTGTCCATCCAAAGCTACATTTATTTACAGCCATAAAGCAGATCATTTTACTCCCCTGTTTAGAAACTCAAGACGGTTTCCCACTGCGACTTGAATGCAACCCAAAGCCTTACCATGGCCTCTGAGGCCCCTGGCTGCTTGGTCCCAGCCTTCCTTTTGGATCTCATCTGTGGTCCTCTCCCTGTGTTCACTGTGCTTCAGAGCTGCTGGAAGTCTCTCCATCCACTGAACAAGGCAAGCCCACTCCAACCACACGATCTCTATACCTGCTGTGCCACCCTCTGCAGGACTCCCCCCTGGTTGTTTACAGGGTTGGCCACTTTTCATCAGGTCTTAAAACAGATGTCACCTCCTCAGATAAGCCTTCCCTGACCACTTAGCTACACTAGCACCCCACTCCAGCCAGGCACTATCCCATTACCTCATTTTATTTTCTGTGCAGCACTGAACACCACCTGATGTCTTTCCTGTTTGCTTGTCACCTGTGAATGTGAGCCCAGGAGGGCAGGGACCGTGTGTCGGGTAAATTCTGTTCCATAGATGTTTGTTGCATTGGTGAGTGGGTGAATATACAGACCAGCCTTATAGACACTGACATATGTGCACACTCATACTCAACTCCACGCACTCACAGTTCCACCTGCACAATGTTCAACCCTTGACACAAAGGCATTCCACAGCCCCTCCACCTGCTGCCAATCCTGCCCTGAGAGACCTCACAAGGTATAGACTGTCAACAACACACATGTACCTGCAGATTCACCCCTGTGCACCCTGCCACCATCACAGACCCCACATAGACTCAATGCCTCTCCCACCACCCCATCACAGCCAGTTGCTATAGACGGATGCACTCTTACACACAAACTTTGCAATCTATCTTCTACTGAGAACAGCTGATAGAGGATAGGTGGTGGTGCTAGGAAACCTCCCCAAATCAGCCACGAGAGCAGCCTTTCCATAATGGTAGGCTCTGTACTACGTCTGAGATCCCACCCCACTGCAGCCCCCACCTTCTGAGCCCCTGCCTCTCTCCTGTTGTCTTATGCCTGGACACTTGAGACTATGGATGAGCCTCCCGGCACAAAGCCAGAGAGCCAGAAACACTAACCCCTTAAAGTCCCTTCTAGCCCAAGGAGTCTTCCAGGGGCCAGAGGGTGGTAGTAGCAGGTGGCAGGAGGACACATTTAAGATTCTGAGCTGAGAGACAAGGGGCAGGTCCTAGAGGCCAGCCCAACCCAGACCCCGGCTGGTCTTGCCAATGTGGGGTCAGATCATGGAGGGAATGACAGCCTCAAGCAGATGGCAAAGCCGGGCAGACAGACACAGGGAAGGGACAGAGGCAAATAGAGTTATCAGCTGCTGGCCTGGTGCAGGATGAAAAGCAATGGACATGGAAATGGGGAAAGGAAAGAAGACTGAAGTCAAATGGAAAGGGATGCCTCTCTGCACAACTCTCGAAACCAGGCTTCTGTGGTTCCTGGACACCAGCCCTTCGAGGGGCCATGTTCACACGTGGGGCCTGTCTCTTGTCCAGCCAGCCTGTGGGGCTGCACTCAGCTCAGGAGAGGGCCCTCCCCTCTGAGCCTTCCTAGCAATAGATCTCCCCTATGTAAGGGATGCTACTGTACACTGAGGGCCACGGTCCGAACCCCTGAGTGCCCTGTTGTTCGTGACCTTCTTTCGTCTCCTGCTAAATCAACATAGTTTATGATAGGACATCTTGATGGGGCCAGGAGAGATTTTTGGAATCATCCCTTGTCCATTTTTTGGAAAGGAAACCAAACATTCAGCACACATGGCATCGGAGGCTGTGAAGAGGGGCCACGCAGATGGTGCTGAGTGACACACAGAGGTTTCATACCCTTTAATTCAAATCCAAGGTGCTCTGGCAGTGCAGAAGAGAGGAGGGTCAGAAAGGGAGGGGTGGAGGGAGAGAGACAGGTGGACAGGGATAGGGGGAGAGAGAGAGACAGAAACGTTGGTCAGGACTCCTCAGACACCGGGCAGCCAGCCTGCGAGGTGAAAGCAGGTTAGTAGTGTCCCCTCCCAGCCTCCTGAGCTCCTTCCCTGACACCCAGTCCCCAAGAGCCCCAAGGAGGGTAGAGAGAGGAGATGTTAGAAACAGCAGGCAGGGCAGGCTCTTTAGAGATGAGCTGTGGGGTTAGTACCTGTTGGGGAGGCAGAGGCACAAGAGTCAGTTGGCAAATGTCCCTGGGAGGAAAGGTAAGTGGGGGTGGGGTCTCAGGAGCTCCCCTGCTCCTCCCAGCGGTCAGTGCCAGGCCTTCAGCACTCTCAACTCTCAAGCCTTCCTGCAGACAGCTTGCCCAGCTCCCTTGTTGGGGGCCCTATTTTTTTTTTTTGTTCAGAGTGCAGGCATGAGGTCCCCAGACTTGCCCCATGTCCCTGCTCTGCCCCACAGGCCAAGCTGGCCTGTCCACCTACTGGGAGCCCGGGTGGGGAGCTTCAGAGTCTGTGGGAGGGAGCAGGAAGAGGAAGAGGATGAGGCTCCAGATAGCAGGTCACTTCTCTACTTGACACCCCAACACCCTAGAAGCCTACAGGGCTGAGTCATGGTGCCTGAGCCTGATTTCACTACCAAGAAGAGCAAACTGCAATTCACAGGAAGAGACAAGTGGGTTCACTTGTAGAATGTCTGAGCTCCTCAAATGGTGGACAAATGACAGTCTTGGAAGTGGGATCGTGTTTTGAATGTGTGATTTCAGGACCCTGTGATGGAGACCCCCATATCATTGAAGGGTTAAATAAAAGGACCCTGACTCAAGGGTCAGCTCTGCACTGACCTACTGCTGTGCCACCCTGAGTGATACCAATCTAGCTAAGTCTCAGTCTCTTATCTGTTACGTGGGCATCAGGCTGGGGCATAGGATCCCAGGAGGTTTGCAAACCTGGCTGAGCTTCTGAATTGTCCAGACTGAGGAAGTCTGGCTCTGAGGTGGGAGCCCAGAAACCTCAACAGTGTTTTTAAAAAGCTCACCTACCATTCTAATGTAGCAGCCAGCATCAGTCTACAGGCCTGGAGTCTCAGTTTCATCCCTAATTCACTATGTGGATGTGGGTAAGCCATAATCCCTGTTTCCTTGTCTGTCCAAAGTGCTTGCACACAGCTAGAGGAAGATGTGAACAAGCCTGGAAGGCATGAGCTCAGCACGTGTGCAGGGCCCCGCTCCTTCTAGCCTGGATTTGCTGACTCTCTGGCTTCCCCAGGTGCACAGTCAGCTCCATTAGATCCAGGGAGGGTGTGACACTGTGTCTGATATTGTCATCTGCCTCGGAGGAAGGCGAGCACGTGGCAATCTGCAGGAAGTCCTACGCATTGTCCGTCCCTGGACCTCTCGTCTACTTCCTGATAGGGATTCCAGAGGGTTCTGCATTTGGAAAAGGGCGGGAGAGCAGGGTGGCTCTGAGCCAGGGACTGTGATGGCTCTGACTAAAGAGCCTGGAGGAAGATCCTGGGGCTTCAACCCCCCAGTTCCATGCAGAGACCATACCAATGAAGCATTCATTACTCCTAGCCCTTCCAGACACAAGCCCTTCTTGTATAGCTATTAAATCCCAGGTTGGGGAGTGAGCTGGACGTTTTGGTTTCTTTGCAGTCCCACTCTGACTGCTTGGAGGCAGGAAAAAGTTGCCCTAAGTATAGTTTGTCCACTCCTCTCCAGGGTGTCCCAGGGCTGGTCAGGCGTGCTGAGTAGACAGCACAAACTTGACAATTCTCAAAGAACCCTGGCGCACCTCTCACTGAGTAGTTAATGCTGTGGCCCAGGGACCCTTCAGGCAGCTGGAGAGCTCACATTATTTGGATATCTAGCCTTGCTGCCCTAAGAGAACAGCCCAGGTTGACCACAACACCCGGGACGCAAAGAGGATTGGGTTCATAGAGCTGGTCTGGGCCCCACTTTCCGATGAGGTTGTTGTATTAGATGAGGCAGCTGAGGCCCAGTGATGCTAGGACACTTTCCCAAGGTCACACAGCAAATTAGGAGGCAGAAGGGAGACTGGAGGCCAGATCCTTTGGTCCCTTGGTGCTAAGCCATGGCTTTCCTGCCCACTGAGTTTCTGGGCAGGCCTGGCTGGGTATTGCTGAGGACAATGACCATCTGGAGAAGTGAGCAGGGCTCCCAAAGCTCTTTAAGTGTTTTCTTCTGTGTCACTCCTCTGGGAACCGAATAGTAGCAGCTGCAGCTTCTAGGGCTCCTAGCTGGCCTCCTTTTTGAGTCAAAGGCCAGTACTGTTTAGAGTGGTGGCTGGCATGATTGGTGGGGTCACTGAGGGCTTGGCCAGTCACTGGGTAGGCAGCTTTCTCACTGGGAAGCGTGGGATGGAACATGAGGGGCCTATGGCTGTGTCCGCCCCAGCAAAGAGAAGACCTTCCCACTCATTATGTTCATTGGCTGCCACTCAGTGAGGGTGGAGTGGCACCACTGAGTCACAGGAAGGTCCTATTAACCAGAAATTTGCATATTGACCAGTAACCATGGCAACCTGATGCTGGACTCCTGACAGGGCTGTGCTTACCAGACAATATGCAAATTCTTCATCCTGGACGTGTCCCATTACATACAGTCATAGGGTGCCTGGACAAGGAGGCAGATGTGTGTACAGATGTGAGCATGAGCTCCTGTGTTTGCACATGTGCTTGCAGGTGTGAGCACATGCCCATGGGTTTGCGCATGTGTGCAGGTGTGTAAGAACATGATTGTGTGTGCATGTATGAGCCCATGCTCACACGTTTGTGCTTGTGTGTACAAGTATATGTGCTCTTTTACATGGGGACATAAAGATGGACAAGCTTTGACCTATGGGGAGCGGAGGGGCTGTTTGTGGAAGAAAGAGAAGCTTCAATGTGCTATTGCAGTCACAGGCTCTTTCCTTGATCTCTGCAAAAGATAACCTGGTCTAGATGCTATCTGGGCAGGGTGTGAAGGTTGGACACTTTGCTCAGGATGTGATGGGAGTCAGCCCCTAGGGGCCTGATGCTGCCCACCACCCCCATACCAGCTGTAGCTGGGAGAGGTACTAAACTGCACTCCAATCACAATGGCAGGCTCTCTGCTAAGCCCTTCATATGCAGCAGTTCATTTCATCCTCACAGTAACCCCACAGGCATAAATGTCATCATCCCCATTTTACAGATGAGAAAACAAATTGAGAAGTTAAAGAGGCCCCAGAGCTAGTCAGCTCAGCAGTTGGCATTTTTACTGAGGTCTCTTTGAATCCGAAGCCTGAACACTTAAGCCAGCACTTTACACTACCTTTTCAGTAATTATCTGCTAGAGCAGTACATGAAGTGCTCTCTGGGAAAGTGCTTGAAGAGCATAAATCCTTTACGAAAAGGTAACAGTCAAGCTACTGAACACACTAGGCAGAAGGGCCTGGACTGCCTTTGTGGGCTCTTTTCTGGGCTCCTGGGACCCTGCTGACCTTCCTAGCAGATTTAGGCTGAAAGCTGAAGCAGCCCAGCTGGCAGAGAGGCCTTGGATAGCGGCCCGGGTTCTGGAGGCTCGGCTGCTCTGATTCAGGACAGGCTGGGACTCCCCGTCCAGAACAGTCCCACAAGCCTGGGAGGCTCTCTGCCAAGAGGAATATTGCCCCACTGTCTCTCTCACCTGGCCCCCAGCTCTGCCTGGGCTCTGCCTTCTCCTGGGGGCCCTCCTGCTCTACAGTCCTGCACTCAGGGCTGGGTATGACTCTGAAATAATTGCAGAGCCTGCGTTCTAGAGAATTCTGTTGGGCCACATGTCCTGCCCACAGGCTCTGCCCTTCCTCCTTGGCCTCCCACACTCTATTAAGATAGTTGACCATCTGGGCCAAGCAGCTCCCATCCCCCAGGGGTCTCTACGCCCCTGTGGGGTTGGGGTGGGGAGTAACTTGCTGACCTTTTGTGCTGTGGTCTGAGAAGGACTGGGAAGGATCATTTCTCCACCCTGAGACCTAAATCCCCAAACCCCTTTTCTCCAAGGGCTACCTACATGGTCCCCTGGATCCCACCTTCAGCACCTCCCAGAGTTCTACCTCCCAGTATCCAGTGCCACATGGACACTCGGTTCCAAACTCCTCTTTGGGCCCAGCTGTCCTCCCTGGAGAAGAGGAGGTGGCAGGCGGGGGGTGGTGGCATGCAGGGGCCTAGCCTGCTCTGCAGGATGGGATGGGTGACTGGGGACAGGCCTTGCAAGCCAGCGGACCCCTGGTCCTCAAGCAGAATCAATGGCCGGCCAGAGGCTTTTCGTTCTGCTCCACCCCCACCTGGCGGTGCTGGAAGGAACTGCTCTCAGGCCCCAAATTAAAAAAAAAAAAAAAAAACACTCCATAATTATGACTGGGTCCTTGGGCCTCGGGGCTCACTTTTCTTTCTTCCTTCCTTTTCTTTTCTTTTTTTTTTTCTTGGCAAACTGTGCAAAAGAGAAAGCTCCAACCTCAGAAGTTGAAGAAAGGAAGGGAATAAAATCCTAGATGGGAAGATTCAGACCACAGAGGTGCTGGAGTCATCAGTTACCCCTCAATTCCTCATTTCCTCAACTTTTTAGCATCTCCAGCACCAACCCCTGCCCCCTCTCCCACCATCCTGTAGCCACATAAATATCTTTGGTATTCATGGAAACCATTGCCCTGGGTCCTGCTCTCCCTTAATTCCTCTTCCTTCCCTCTACCCCATTTCCAAACCCTCAAAACAAACAAACAAACTCTGGCCAGACTGGAAAATGGGCTTTCTGAGAACTTTTTTTCTCTCTCAAACACATAGGCATACACACGCGCACACTCACTGCCAGCCCCATCGGTACCCTCAGGCAGCCTTCAGAGGCAGGGGAGGGTTCTGCAAATGCTTCCTCCCATTCTGGCCAGGCTGCCTGACCCCAGAAGTCGGGAGGAGGCCTGGGTGTGGCCCTGGCTGCTTCAGAGAGAACTTGGCATTACTGTGCCCAGGAGGTACAGTCCACATGTGGAGGTGGGGGTGCCAGGGGGCATTTCTGTCTCCTCTAAGGAGCGCAGGACACCCTCTGCATCTCCCCGTAGTCTTGCTAAGCAAGGGCCCATCCCTCCCCAGGGGGAGACTGTCAGTCACCAGGGAAGAGAAGAAGTAGAAGAAAGAGACATACTGGAGAAGTTGACCATTGCGAACTGCTGACACCTGTCCCCGGTGTATCCCACAGGACACCTACCAAAAGAAAGAAAACCAGAAAGAGAGAGCCAGGATAGCAAGACACAGGCATTGCAACACCCCGGCACGGGCTCCTGCCAATGCCAGCTGGGTTCCTTGCCACCGTTACCATTTGTATTGGCCTTGCCACTCTGCCCCTTACCTGCAGCCCTGAACTTTAAACCCAAGGATTAGGCCAAAAATGAAAACAAAGCAAAACAAAACAAAACAAAACAAAAAGAACTAACAAACCAAAATACAAAAAAGAAAAGAGAAACAAAACAAAACAGCCAAAGATCAAAACAACCAACACCCCTGGCCCTACGCCCTACATTGGGGGGACTGCACCCGGAAGCTTTCTAAGGAGCAGGGACTTGTGTTTGTATCTTCAAACATACTTTGCTTAGGATCTGGCATGTACAATCGCAAAGGCAGTTTCTCCAAACATCTCTGTCCGAAGAATCCATTTGGACATCTGGAGAAGGAAAAGGGGAAAAATCACAGAACAAACTGGCATCATCCGCGAGGCTAAGGTTAGAAATCAAAGTGCACAGTGATGAATGAGAAAAACCAAGTCAGGCACTTGGGGTCATACTTGTAGCTGAAGGGACTGGAGTCAGGGCTGGGTGGAGGGCTCTGAAATCTCCTCGAAAATCTGTCTAATAGATGTGGCTCCATGGGTGGTGGGGAAGGTGGGGTGGGTCGGGGGGAGGATGATTTAGGTAAGCGGGGTGAGGGAAGATGGGAAGTTGTCCTACTGGTCATTGAGACTTTCCTTCTTACCTGCCTGGTACCCCATGAAGCAAGAACTGTGGCCTCTTGGTGCCAGGCAGTCAGTCAGCTGGCAGGGATCTGGGAGCCTTAAGGAATACCAAGTTCTTGGGAGCTACTCCTCCCAGGACCGACTGAAGGATTCTCTCCTGGGCTCTGGGCAGGTTTTCTCCTCCAAGAAACAGCCCCCAGAAAACTCAGATAACTCAGGAATGCTGTTCCCAGACTGTGTATGTCTATGACAAAAGTGACCTAGGGGATATTTTATCTGTTCTTTCAAAGAGGGTTCTGTGGCCAAATCAATGTAGGAAATACATTCAGGGTGCCCTGTAGAGCTGCAGTGTACCTTCACCTATGAAAGACTATGAAAGTTTCATAGGAGGAAACAGCTGAACTTTCCATGTAAGTTCTCAAATTTATTTGTGTTTCAAATTTATTTCACCATGGATATTGTTTTTTGAGGAACCCTTGTAGAACATGGTTTGGAGAAGGCTGCCCCAGTGCAATGTACATGGGGAAAGCTTAGTAGGGAAATGGGAAGTTCGGGAGGAGTTGGAATTATCAGCATCCCAAAGTGGGCCTTCCTGATACCAGGTGCAGGGAATCTGGCCTCAGGTGGCAAGGACCACAAAAGGGATTGGAGCAGGCTCACTGGGGGACCCTGGAAGCCTGGTCCACCTCAAGGTCCTAGCGGCAGCCAGCCTGCGAAACTCTTCCATTTCCCCATGACCTGTTTCTCCATCACTGCCTGGCCCTGCCCTGGATCTCATTCTCCGATCTTGCCTTGCTTACAGCTCTAGAGCAACACCCACTCAATCTCCCTGACCTTGTCCCTACCCCCAAGGTACACGTTCTTCTGCTTTCTGGCTGCCACCCCTCTCCTCAAGCGAATCTCAGATTTCTTGCAGAAGTCTTGCAGATTTCTGGAGGACATTCCCACCCCTGTACTCTCTTCTGAACCCCAGCAAGGCTAGATACCTAAGGAGAAGCTTATAGGGAGGGCTAGACCCCTTCCCCACATCCCTACTCAGACATGGGTCTATATTGCCTCTGCATCTTCTTCCTTAGGAAAGTAGCTAAGTTCATCACCAGTGTCCCCCTCAATAATAGGCTACCGTTCAAAATTAATCAATGTAAACTTCCTCAAGAGGCAAGTGTACTCTACTTCTTAGCATTGCAGTATATAGCAACCATCAGGAAGCCACTTAGGCTTACAGTAAGTGGTAGCTATTGGTTGTGACAGATACTCATGAACATCCTGTGACCTCAAATCTGGAGGAGTGGGGAATGGGAGTGGTGGGTGAGCAGTTTCTTTGGGCCTTAATGGCGTCTCCTCCAGGGGAGGCAGGATGTTTGTCTTGTAGTGGTAGGATTGTGTGAGCAGGTATGCCTGGCTAATCAGGGGGTGGTGGAGGGCAGGGAATTGTGTCAGGAAAGTGGCATGGGTGGGGAAAGGGTGCATGCTCATCTTGTTGAACAGGGTGGCTTGGAGGAGGAGACTGCCATTAGCTCCCTTGTCAACACATCCTTCTCTGATCCCTGGCCCTTGTCCCTATTCATCCCAGATCAGGAAAATGGAGATAGTGGCTAAGGCCTCCCAACAAGCTCCAGCCAGGCTCAGCTCTTGGAAACTGATGTCCACTTGTGATGGGGACTAGAGGGGTAGAAGTGATTTTCAAACGTAAGTGCCTTTGGGAGTGGAGGATGAAGGTCCAGGAAGTTGCCAAAATGACTCTTGGGTTCCACAAAGGAACAAGAAAGAGATAGATGTGTCTGTGTCCAGTGTCTGAGATCAGCCCAGCTCTTGGAGGCAGGGAAACCTGTGTGTGTGTGTGTGTGTGTGTGTGAGAGAGAGAGATAGAGAGAGAGTGGGGGAGTACAAGGGCAGGAGGGGCAAGGGGAAATTTATTTCCATTGCTGACAAGCAGGGCTGCTGTCCTAAGACCTTTGGAGACCAACGATAACTCCATACATCCCTGTGGCCCTTATCTCACACCCAGCCTGCACTATGCTGACTACATCCTTACATCTTTCATGGCCGCTAAGTTGCACAACATTATAGTCCTAACCTTCCTTCCTTGAGAAAATGTGCTCCCCACTGGCTGAACAAAGCAAAAGGCACTGGGGAGGGGCACAGTGAGGGGTGGTGGAAGGCTGACAGCTACTGCTGTTTTTTGGGGTCCTAGCTCTGTCAGGACACTCCTATTTTTCTCCTTAGTCCTGTTTGCTGGGGATGAGTCACATTCAGGAGGCTGGGGCTTCCCTAGAGAAGGCTTTGGGGGCAAGCTGGGCCTACAGCCTCTCTAACCTGCACCTAATACCAGGGTAAGAGAGTATGGGGTACATTAGCCTATGAACCAGGATAGGAGTCTGAACTCAGCATTGGGGGTGGGTGATGGTTGGTGGTTCCCACTGAAACTGGGATTGACCCTCTGATTTTCAGGGGGCACAGAGGACAGATTAGAAGGAGCAGCGGGTAACAGCCTTCCCAGCCTTTCCCACCAGGTCATCGGCTATGACTCTGGGAAGGTCTGTCCCCAGGGCTGGAGAAGAGCAGGGTGAGAGAGGGGCAGAGAGGAGAGCCCATGGGCTGCATCTGGGGTGACAGAGAGGTCAGGACCTCTGCTTTCCCCTTTTCCCACCCCACCTCCCGGGCCTCAGTTTCACCTTTTGGTAGCCTGGGGATAATGCCATGTGTGCTGCCCTCACCCGGGGGAGGGGTGGATGAAGGATGGCAGTGTGCCCCGGGCACTGGAGGGAGTGAAGGGCCTGTGAATTCATGAGAGGGGTGAAGATGTGGCGAGGATGAGCAGGCAGATGGGGGTGGGATGGGGAATCACCTGGACATGGGTGGGGTAAGGGCAGAGGGATGAGGAGGATGAGCTGATGGGAAGGGGAGGCATGCCACTGGTATGTGCACAGGGCTGGAAAGAGTCTTGTTCTGTCATCATCCCCTGAACCAGTCCCCAAGAGTCACGCACCAACCGTGCTCTACAAACACACGGAGAGAAGAGGAGAAAGCAGCAAGAGGGACTACTGAGGCCCCTGTCTGGCCCAGACAGGGGACAGTCACCTTGATTTGGACTCCCATTTTCAAATCCCCCTACGTTGTCTTTTTTTAAAACAAAATTCAGTATCAGTGACACTGTTTCTTTTGGCACTGAATTCCAGAAAAACAGGAGGGACGGAGTGTGCCTGCTTTCCAACACTCCCTGCAGGGCTCTGAACCAATACACAACAACAAGTGTAAGAAAACCAGGAAGGAAAACTGATTTTTATAGAAACTGGAATGAAACTGACCAGTGTAGTTTCATTATCCAAGCTAAGCGGAAATGCAAAAAAATCAAAATAAAAAGTAAACAAACAGCACAAATGGTAAGACGTGAGTTCCGTTTCCTAAATTCTTTCCTTTTTATTCCATTCAGGTGTCATCAGGAACCCCAAGAGGCCTGCCCCCCTTCCCCCGCAGCTCATCCACCCCCAGAATGGCCTCTGGGCTCTGCCCTGCCCCCCACCCCCCTGCCCTTCTCCAGCACAGCTATGAGGACCTGCCGTTCTGACCGCATCTCCACCAGGGATGCCCTCTCCCTCGAGGGCTGACAAAGGGAGTCAGGGAAGTTGGTTCCAGGAACCTTGACTGGAACCAGGGGAGGCTGAGATGGGGAAGTGGTGGCTCTGGGTACCAAGTTCTAAGCAGTGCAGCTTCCCTTCCCTGGTGGGGAGGGGAACAGGGCACCATCTTCACAATGGCTCAGGCTCCTGCCTCTGCTCCTCTCAGATTTAGCTGGGCAGGACTCAGAGGTCCTAGGGGTGCAACCTTGCTGGCAGGGCCCTCCTGGAGCCCATATATCTCACCATTCCCTTGCCCACACCGAACTCTAGCAGTGGAGCCCTGGCCCCCATGGCCCTCCTCAGCCCTGGCACCTGTCCTGAGGGGCCAGAACCTTCCCTGCCTGGACGAGGGCTGACTTCAGTGACAGTGCTGGATCCCTTTAAGGTTCGGGGTCCAAGGGGCTAGGGAAGAGAAGAGACCTACCTAGTGTATATGCCACAGGGAGGAGGAGGATGCGGGAGACAAGGAAAGGGGGATGCAGGGCTGGGTCATCCCTGTGAGGTATTCCAGGACCCTGATGAATTTCTAGTAGATCTGTTCCAAAGAACTATGATCAACTTTCACAGCTAGAATGTTTCCTAGGGTCTGTCATACGAACATGGCAGCCTCCTAGAGGCAGGAGGCAGGGAAGGATGAGGGGCTGAGTCTGCATTGAGAACTTCCCTAGAGGGCCTGTTGTTGCTATTGGGACTCTCCCCCTAAGATTTGGGGAGGGTGGGAAGGAGGTGGCAGCAGGGGCAGGGTGGGGCCAGGGAGGAAGTCAGCTGAGGAGGCCAGCTGGGGCAAGAGCCATGGTTCTGCCTGGCAGTGCGAGCCGGGTCACCCAGCACTGAGGTGAGCATAAAGGAGGTGCGGTCCCTCATTACCATGTTGTTAGGTGGAGGGGTCTTGAAAAGTCCTGGCCTCCTCAGACCAGGCTCACATTCCCGGGCAAGGGTGTGTCCAGGAAGGGGGCTGTGGATCTGGAGCGGGAGATCAGAGGCATGCGAGCTGAGAAGTACTGAGTCTGACCTTGCCTGGCGGAAGGTCAAACATCTCTCTTTGAATCCCCATCAAAGTTTTGGTGGCCTTTGCCCAGATGCCATGGGAATGGGGCAGTTTTAGCACCTTTCCAGGGCTATAGTCTTGGGCTGCTTTGAAACACTGAAGTTATTAACTAGGCCCCCCTCCTACTCCTCCCCTAGATCTGTCCAAAGTCTGTGCTGCCCTCACCAAGCTCCCCTCCCCTCCTCACACACTCACCAGAGAATCTGTCCAGGGGGCACTGTAGGCCCAGCTGCCCAAAAGATTTGGCTGGGCCTGAACAAGCCCCCCCGACAGCCTCTCTCCCACCTGCCCCATTTTCTATGGGGAGTGGGTGGTTCTGAGCTCCTTGGAGTTCCTGCTGGGGCCACCCTGCCTGGTTGGTGAGCAGGCTCTGGCCCCTGGGGAGGCTGAGAGGCCCCAGCCTGAGCCTCTCCTCCACCCTGACCTCCCCCATTGGGTCATACCTAGAGTGGTGTCCTTGCTGGCATCCCCTCATCCCATGGAGTGGGGGCTAGGGGCTGAAGGGGCACAGGCAGCACCCAGGGCATTTTTGTACAATGGGGTCCTGTAGGGCAGAAGGGCAGCCAGATCCTGAGGTCAGTACTAGGTTCTGGGCAGACCCCTCTTCTCCCCTCAAGACTACAGGAGCAAAGGGCTCTGGAACCTGTGCTCTGCCTGGCCCCACCAGGCTCCTCGCTACTGGGGAAGATGCAGCCTGGGAAACGTTCATTAAGAACAAAGTTTGGAGAGTTGCTGAGAGATGGGGAGGAAAAGATGGGGAGAAAGAGGGACTGAGGGAGGCAGAGAGAGAGAGAGAGAGAGAGACAGAGAGAGAGAGAGAGAGAAAAACCCAGTGCCCAGTGCCTAGGGCATAGACTAGCATCCCCATCTCCCTAAAGGGTGTTGGTGAAAGGGTAGACATCAGGAGATGGGGTGGATAGGGGCCTGGGAAATGGGGACTCCCCAAGCCCCTGTGCCCCTTAGAGCTTATATCTCCTTATATTCCAGGAAAGGGCTAGGAAATAGGGCAAAGCTTCCTGTCTACACCCCTTGGGGACCTCTTGTCAGTGGCTTGGAACCCTCTTTTACCAGAGCCCTCCACTTCTGACCCAGCATCTCCTACCCTGCTCTTGCCCCCAAGCCCACCCCTACTGGTCACTTACTTGCAGGAGAGCTGGTTGATGCCCTCGATGTAGTAGCAGACGCCTCCATTGACGCAATAGGACTTGGCTGTCTCGTTGCACTTCCGGGCGTGCCCCGACCAGGATGAGAGGGTGGTGCTCACTGAGGGTATGAGAGACATGTGCCAGTGACCCACTGAGACCATCTCTAGGTCCTAGGAATCATCTCCTTCATGCCCCATCTCAAAACTGGAAGATGACCAGAGGCTGCAGGAATGACTGGGGAGGGGAGGTCTGGTGGTCCCTTCTAGTCACCAATAAGGCAAAGGAGAGGCCACCATGAGCTCTGCCCATATGCCCAGTGCAACCTTGCACCCAAGCTCTAGGCAAACTTCCAAAGGCCAGGAAGATTTTCATTCTTTTGTGGGGGGAGCAAGGTGAGATGAGAGCAGGAACTGCTTCCTCTGCTGAGTAAGGGCCCACCTCTCCCCTTCCCTGCCTGGCTTTCCGGGGACTCCCCTACAGGTGGTTGAGATGCTGATGTCTCACGTGGTGAACAAACATAGGAGGCAGCGCAGGGAAGAGACACCTACACCCGCCTGCATGGCTTGGGCTCTCATGGTGAACCAGGGAGTGGCTGGAAGGGAGCTGGGCCTTCAGGGGATGGCACCTTCAGGACATGGTCATTTTCTAAGATCTGGAGAGATGTTGGAGGTAGGAGGAACCCTAGCTTCTACTCTCTTCCCCTTCTCCAAGGGCTAGGCTAGCTCCAAACCTCCCAGAAATGCTTCAAAGCCTACTATGCCCCATCTCCATAAGCATCTGGGGTCTTCTCCATATCTCCCCACCCCAGACAGCCCCCTCCTCCCCGACCTCATCAGCTGTTGCCCCTAGAGGGAGCCTCCAGGTCTCGGACAGCCCCAGCCATAAATCATGGGTTTCAAGTTGTTGGGGAGGAGACAGGGCTGGGGAAAGGGAAGGGGGCAGCTGGGATGCGAAACTGGGGGAGAGCAAGGCTGGGCCTTAAGGCTGCTAGCGCAGACTGCACGTCCGATGGACTGGACTCATTTGAGAAATGAACATCACTGAAGCTCTGCTCCTCATCAGGGAATGGCATCCAGAAAGCTGGCTTCAAGTGAACATTCTTGCCCCAAACATCAGTTTTAGATAATGCCCCGTCCAATCCAGACTGGACAGCCAGAAGCAGGTCCTGCTCCCCTCAGCTCCCAGGGCCTCTGAGGGCCTCTCTCTCCCACCCAGCCCAGCAGTGGCCTCCTGAATGAGATGGCCCAAGCTACCCCAGCTGGCCCTGTCTCCTCAGGGGTACTGGGTCTCTCTCATTCCCCTCAGTAATGGGGGTGAAAGTGAGAGGAGGAGGAGGAGGGCAGGCACTCGGCGCCCTCAGTGTTTAGACATGTGGGGAGACGGATGGAGCGCGGGGGGCCAGGAGTGTATACACAGCTCTGCCTCTGTATATGTCTGAGGAGCATGCTGATAAAATCCAGCGGGCAGGGCCGGCTTCGCCGTCCCCTCCACATCATGCCTGCTGCTGAGCTGGCATCCCGGAGCCCCACCCCTGCTGAGGTCTCCCTCCTCGGCTCAACCCCACACTCAGCTGGAACCCACGTGCTGGCTGGAACTGGAGACCTCCTGCTGATCTTTGCCCCACTTCTGGGTCAGTGAGACCCAGGGAACTAAGAAAGGGACAGAGAAGAGAAACAGCTGAGGTGACCACGCCTGCCAGTTGTAAAATCCCCTTGCTGGGAGAACCCTCGAGGTTGTCCTGCTCTTCATTTGCATGGCACAGGAGGAGTGAAGAGAGAGAAGGCAGCGAATGTCTGGCCAGAGTGCAGTGTGTGTTGCAACAGAGCCTCAGGGCTCCTAGCCCCTGGCTGTACATCCTCCCCATCAGCACCCAGGCTTGACATAAGCAGACGAACGCAAGCGCTGTGAGGATTGCAGGCCTGGGCCCTCCTGTGGGCCTTGGCTAAGCCAGAGAAATCTCAGTCTGGATCTGCCAGGCCCTGCCTGGCGCCCTCTGCAGTTGTGGGTGGCACAGACTGCCCATTGCTGTGCCCATTGTTTCACCCCAGCCGAGTGAGCAGTGGACAGCAGGGAGGATACTGGGGTGGCCGGGGCCACAGTTGCACACTTGGGCTTCTCACACATATATGTCTGTGCTCATCGGGGCCTTGGGAGGACAAGGACAACTCCTGAGGAAAGATGGGGCCTCCCCAGCCGGGTGCATTGAGCCTGGGCTGCCAGCATCATGTTGTCGTGGGGATGAGGCTGGGGCCCCGGGAAGGTAAAAAGGGAAGACAGTTGGGGAGCCAGTCACAGAGGGTGTGGGGAAAGAGTGACCATGGGTGTTTCCACCTCAGAAAGGCCACTCCTCTGTAACAGCAGGGCCTTCCCAAGACACTGCAGCCCAACTCTGCCAGTGGCGAAGCCACACTCCATGGAGATTTCCACATGGAAGAGCTGCGCTCACACTGTGGCGTAGTTACACTGTTCTAGCACGCGTGGGCTCCTGAGGCAATGTGGTTACACCCCCCTTGTCAGTGTATCCGTATCTCTCACTATGGTCGCCCGTGTTTGGAGAAGTGAAGGTGACATGGACTCTCCCTTTACACCTCCATGGGGATGGCTCACAGCACCCCAAACTCAACAAGTCCAAAACTGGGCTCTGCACCATCTGCCCTACCCACCTTCTTCCCCAGTCTTCCCTATCTCAGTGACCAAATGGCACAAACCAAAGAGCTAGAGGGCATCTTTGACTTCATCCTCCTTTATTCTCCTATAGCCATCTATTGCCAAGGGTTGCCATTTCCACTTCCTCAAGAGACTCCATCCATGTCTCGCTACCTCCTCCCCCAGTCCAGGCCACCGTTGTCTCTTTCTTTGATGACCACAATAGCTTCCTCTCCGGTCTTTCTGCCTTCACTCTTGCCTTCATCTCCTTTACTTTGCAACAGCCACAGTGGTCTTTAAAATATGTAAATTGTGTCAATGTTTTCTATTATTAAAGCTCTCCCGTGGCTTCCATTTGCACTCAGAATAAAGCCCCCAACTTCTTCCCAGGTCTTATTTGGGCTTCACCACCTCTCCCACTTCATCTCCCATCTTTCTCCTTCAGTATGTTTCAGACTACACTAGTCATAGCTCTGCTATTCTAATAAGCCAACTACTCTCCTGCCCAGGATGTTCAAAATACAACAAGTGTCTCAGGGAGGCCTCATCTGACTTCTTAAGCTGGTCAGGTTCCTCCCTTATTCCCTCTCTTAGCTTCATATACTTCTGTTTATAGTTATTTTAACATAATTACATGACTGGTGTGCAACTGTTTGCTTTTCTCTCCCCCAAGACAGAGTCTTGCTCTGTCACCCAGGCTGGAGTGCAATGGTACAATCTCAGCTCACTGCAACCTCTGCCTCCCAGGTTCAAGCAATTCTCGTGCCCCAGCCTCCCAAGTAGCTGGGATTATAGGCACATGCCACCATGCCCAGCTAATTTTTGTATTTTTTAGTAGAGACGGGGTTTCACAATGTTGGCCAGGATGGTCTCGATCTCCTGACCTCATGATCTGCCTGCCTCAGCCTCACAAAATGCTGGGATTACAGGCTTGTGCCACCACGCCCAGCCAACTGTTTGCTGTCTAATGCTTAGTTCCTTCACTAGAATGTAAGCTCCATTAGCGCAGGAGCCATGTCTGACATGTTTACCCTGAACCCCAATGTCCAGCACGGTACCTGGCACATAACAGGTGCTTAACAAATGTTTACTGAATGAATGAATGAGAAAATAAACATCTTATTCTTTGGGGGGAAAAAAGTGCCCTGTGCTACTATCGCAGGGATTAGTCTGGTATCCTTGACTGATAATGATATCTTTTTGGTAGATTAAAGGACGGTCTCCTATTAAATGCAAATATTCCAGAAAGGTCCTTAGAGGAATGAAAATCAAAGCCCATGGCTGGCTCACCCCTGTAATCCTAGCACTTTTGGGAGACCAAGGCGGGAAGATCACTTGAGACCAGGAGTTCAAGACCAGCCTGGGCAATGTAGCAAGACCCCATCTCTATAAAACATACACACACGCACACACTCTGAGATACCACTTTCACTAGGATGGCCAGAATCGAAAAGACGGATAATAACATGTGGTGGTGAGGAGGTGGAGAAATTGGAACCCATATGCATCGCTGGTAGGAATGTAAAATAGTGTAGCTGCTTTGGAAAACAGTCTGGGAGTTCCTTAAAAAATTAAATGTGCTCATCATGTGCTCCAGAAATTCCACTCCTAGGTGTATTCCCCAAGAGATTGACAACCTATGCTCACACAAAAACTTGTGCCCAGATGTCCACAGCAGCATTATTCATAACAGCCAAAGTGTGGAAACAATCCAAATGACCCAAGAATCCAAGCTTATGACTGGATAAATAAAATGTGGTATGTCTATATAGTGAAATAGTATTTAGCCATAAAAAGAAACGGAGTACTGATCCATGCTACAACATGGTGAACCTTGAAAACATTATGTTAAGTATAAGAAGACAGTCACAAAAGGCCACATATTGTATGATTCTATTTATATGAAATGTGCAGCATTAGTGGTTGCCTGGGCTAGGGAGAGGGAGAAATGGGAGTGGCTGCTAAAGGCCACGGGGTTTTTTTTTGGGGTGACAAAAATGTCCTGAAATTAGTGGTGACGGTTATATAACTTTGTGAATATACTAAAAACCACTGAATTGTATACTTTAAAAGGTGAATTTTATGATATATAAATTATATCTCAAAAAATTAATTTAAAAAAGCACCCCAGAGGGGTAAGCCCAGGAAGTTTTGATGAACCGTTAATGTCTTGGTGTGAGTTTATCAGGGCCCCTGAAGAGGCACAGCGGCGGGGTGGGAGCCACTGCTGTGGAGATGCGTCCCCTGCTGCCCACAACCACAGCTGCTTTTCACCGTTGCTCATGGAGAAAACTTCTGCTTGTCCTTCCAGACTCTGGTTGAGTGCCTCTTTAGCTATCGAGGCCCCTTTCCCTTTGATAAATTGCCTACCTTCCTCTCAGTTTGTTAGAAAAGGCAGACCTTTTAGAGTTCAGGTTTTAGTTTCCTGCATTTGAGGGACTTTCTTGGGGGCCAAGACTGTGACTCCCCAGAGCTCTGAGCAAGATCTTGTTGAATAAGCACTTGCTGAATGCATGACTGACATGAGTGTGCATCTGTGTGTGTGTGTGTGTGTGTGTGTGTGTTTAAACAGCCAGCCTTTTCAAGACTCCAGGTAAGAAACTGGCCCAGAGACCTCTCCAGGGCTTCCATGGTCCTATGACACCCCAGGTCAAACCTGCCTGTCCTCCGGGGCAAAGCTTGACATCAGGGGCTGGTACAGTTACCTCAGGACATTCCCAAGCTCCCTTTCACCTGGGATGAGACATCTGTTTCTCTAACTCAGAAGTGGGTTGGACCAAGCTATTGTGTTAGCACCACAAACTTCCTGCCGACTCCTCCGGCCCGCCAGTTCAGGAAGGCGGGAGTCTCTTTGTGAGCTGGCAGAGCTCTGACTATAAGGAAGGCCTAATCTGATTTGTGGAAGCAGCCCTGGGCTCCACCCGAACAGAGTAGTAGCCACCCAAGAGCCAAAGCGATGCCCACCGAGCAGCCTGCTGATCCCCGATGGCCTCCCCGTGCCCTCTTCTGGCTGCCCCATCCCTGTAGCCCTGGTTTCCCTTCGGCCTGGGCGGGCCAAACCAACCCACCTTGGGATGAGTCAGAGGGGGCAGACCACAGGGTGTGGTTGCTGCAGGTCTCCTGGGCTCCATGGATAAACAAGGAGCCTGGGCATCTCTGCCTGGGAAAACATCCCCAGCAGGGGCCCCCTGGTCCCCAGCAGTGGCCCTGTTCAGCTCTCCACATCAAGGGTAGGCTCTTGCCTGCCATGGACTGCACATGGCAGCAGAAGTGGTGTGGTATGTGTGTGTGTGTGTGTACTGGTTAGGTGCACAGCATGTCAGCCTTAGCATGAAACTCAGAATCCCAGGATTTTGGAGGGAAGGGGCTTAAAGATCATCTAGTTCAGCCCCATAATGGGAAAAACGAAGACTGGTGGGGTGAAGTGACTTACTCAGGGTTGCATGACATAGAGCTTGGATGAGGCCAAATCTCCAAACTCTCTCCCCTGCTCTGCCCTGCCGCTCCCCTGGAGAGTCAAGAGGCAAGAAGGCTGTGGGAAGCTAGGATTCCAGATATGCCCTCAGTGCCCAGCCCAAAGGCTCCACTGTCTGGTTCCTAAACTGATCAGAGCACAGCCTGCTGAGGGCTGACAGGACTCCATGTGTGGGACGGGACTTCGGCTTATCTGAGGGGTCTCACCACCTCTGGCCACAGGCCCTAAGCCCTGTGCAAGAGAGAGGGCACTCCTGTGGTTTTCTGCATGGCAGCCACTCCTGCTTCCTCTGCTAACAGCACCCCTCTAGGGAAGTGCTTTTCCATGGAGTTCTGACCAGGCCATCACTCACAGTGCTCTGTCTCTCAGTAGCCCCTGTGCACACACAGACAGGTCAGGCAAGGATGGCCCCACCCTCCAAGCACAGTGACTGGTCAAGTGGGCCACATGACCTGGCAGGGTCAATCAGAATCCATCCTTGTGACTGTACTTATCGACACAGAGACAAAGCTATCTCTTTTCTCCAGGCGGTGGGCTGGGATGCGGTAGATCTGGAGCTGTCTGAGGCCATGGCCTCCTCTTCCCACCCCACTCCCCAAACATGAGAGAGGCCCATTTTACAGAAGGAAAGAATGAGGCCGACACATAGTGAGAGAAACTGTCTTGAGCCATCCTATGAGTTCTTGGACCCTTCCTCTGAGTTCTTAGATTCTGTCACGCCTGGGGCCAGTTCCACTTCCGAACTTACCAGTTTTATAAGGCAATAAATAAATCCCTTAAGACAGGTTTAAGTTAGTTCCAGTCAAGAAAGTCTTGACTAATAAAACAGGAAGGCCCCAGATCCAAAGTGGATCTGAGAATGTCTGACCACTATAGCAGAGGTGGCAGGTGCTAGACCCCACATACAGCCCACACTTGGGATAGGATGAGAGAAGTAGGAGCTCAGACACCCTCCCTGCTATCATGCCAAGGCTGGGCCATAGAGGAGGCAGTAAAGACCTTGGAGCAGGTTATAAGTTCTCTTATATAGTATTTACCAGGCATCCACTGTGAGCCAGGTGCTGTGCTAGACCCTGAGGCTAGGGTGGTAGACAGACTAGACATAGCCCCACGGAGCTCAGAGACTAAGTGTTTGCCAACTACTTTTATATTGTACAGCTCTATCATTAACTAGGTGTTTGACTTCCGGTGAAATATTTAATCTCTCTGAGCTTCTCATTATTTATAAAATACATCCTGACTTTGAGTATGGGTTCATGGGATAACGTGGAGTTTGGCTCAATAAATACTGGCTATGATTGCAACTTCCAGGAGAAAGCATCCTCCCTGTTCCCCCCACTCCTGAGGCTCACAGATTCACTGGGGTGGCCATGCCCACAGAGAAAGTTCAGCAATAGCATGAGAGTTGAAGGCTAATCAAAGGCTAGAGTTCAAGAGATGCCATCAGAGCATGGTTGGCCAAGGACTGGCCCAGGAGTGGAGCCCTAGCTGGGAGAGACGCTGCAGTGTATTGGGATGGTCAAGGAGGAAGAGATAAGGCCATGGCCTCCTCTTCCCACCCCACTCCCCAAACATGAGAGAGGCCCATTTTACAGTAGGAAAGAATGAGGTCAACACACAGTGAGAGAAACTGTCTTGACCCATCCTATGAGTCAGGATGGCACAGGAGCAAGAGTAAGAATGGAATGGACAGGGGACTGATGGAAGTTAGGTTGGAAAGATCTTTTAGGCCAGGGTGGTGAGAACAAAGTCCCTGTTCTGTGGTTCTATGGGGTGGGGAACATGACAGGATAAAAGCACCTTAGGAGGCTGCTGCTCTGGTTCAGGTGACTAGGGATGAAACCCAAGCCGGGGTTACCCTTGAGGTATAGTTAGAGCAGAAGAGGCAGGTGTGAGAAAGATCCAGAAAGAAGAATGGCAAGGCCATGGAGACTCAGACTTATTAGACACAGTGGCGAGGGAGACCAAGGAGCACAAGGGCCTGGGAGATAGGGTGTCCCTCACCAGGACAGGACAGACAGGGTCTGAACTAGGTTTTTGTCTGGGGGTCATAGGGCAGAGAGTGTTCCAAGTCGTCTTTTAGACCATTCTGGATTTAGGACATATTGGAAGACTGTCTGGTGGAAATAGAGGTAGGTAATGACAGATATAGGATTAGATTCTGTGATGAGCAGGAGTCAAAGTGAACCCCAATAAATAGGTAACCACATGGCACACTCAGTCTGTGTGTGTTGGGAGCAGGAGAGTGATCTATGGGATTTAAGGTACTCAGGCTAGAGTGGAGAGGGCACTGCCTGAGGACAGGCAGTTTTGCCAGAGAGGAGAGGCAATTTCCCCAGTCAAGGGAGAACCAGGGCTTGAGAGGGCAGTGCAACAGGAAGGCAGCTTCTACCCTGAGGCTGGGTCTGCCACTGTAGAGACGAGAAGGTAAGAGGTGCCGTGAGGTTCTGACCTTGCAAGACTTCAAGGAGTGGGGATGGCCTGTGAGGGAGGAGTTTGCTGTCCCTGAACAGAGGCTGCCAACAGAGGCTGCCACCAGGGGCCCCAGGCATCCAAGCTGCCTACCCATGGCCCATTGGAGATGGCTGCCTGCGCTCAGGTGCTCAGCAAAGCAACAGGCAATAGGCAGTCAGCCTGCACATGCCCTGGGCCTGCCTCTCCCTGCAGCCCCGCTCCTGGCAGCCCAGCCTCCTATAATTGCCTTCTAAAAATATCCTTCCCCCACCCCCACCTCTTGATTTCAAAATATTTAGTTTTCAGGGTATTTAAAATGAGAGCTGGCGGCTCTTCCAGGCCCAGATAACAAAGCTAAACATTTATGCTTCGACTGCATTTCTCTGAATCGGCTGAGATCTAGGGCTTGATATGGCAGCAGCAGGAGGGAGGGGAGTTGAGTGCGAGATGGATCACATGCAGGCCCCAAGGGCCGGGGGGCCACTGGCCTGCCCTGCCAAACCCCTCTAGGACCCTTCCCTCTGTCGGGGCCCACCTACCGCTGTTGACGTAAAGCCGGCCCCGGACGGTGTCCTTCCCCAGGATGTTCTCTGCCTCGCAGACATACTCCCCAGCGTCCTCCACCTTCACCTTGTTGAACTGTAGTCGTGAGTTCTTTCTGGTTAGGGAGGGGATAAGAGGGAGAGAGGCATGAGCCAGGGCCGGCTGTGGCTCCCCAGCGGTCACCCAGCGGTCGTCTCTCTCCACAGAGCCACAGTGGCCCTGCAGTTTAGATGGGAAGGAGATTCCCTCCGCCCAGCGATTTCTGGAGTCCAGGTGGGGCATGGAGTCCCTGCAGCTGCAGGGAGCCCTGGGCCCTTAGGACAACACAGGGCAGGACTAGTGGCTGCTCACAGGTCCTAAATCTATGATCCCTCACATCCGCTTTTCTAGGGCCGGACCACTGTTGTAACATTCTTCTGGGGGAGTAAACCAGGCCCTATAGGAAGTCACATGGCCACCTCCCTCATTCCCAGCTGCCTCCGCCTCTCCTGGGAAGTGGCAACCTGTCATTCTGGGTACGCAAGACCTGTTCCCAGATACCTGGGAGGGCGGCTGTCCTGACAGATTCCCATGGCGATGGCGCCCAGACTCCTCGTCCAAACCTGGGGCTCTCCCTTGTTCTCAAAATCAGCCCTGCCACTAAGGGGCACTCTGTGGCTTCTCCAAGGGGTTTTTGTTTCATTCATTCATTCATTCAACAAATGTTTACTGAGCACTTTCTGTGTGCCAGGGGCTTGTACACCTTGGGGAACAAAAAGATCCTGGACTTGATCCTCAGGGCCAACCTGGGTGTTCTCTTCTTACAGAAGGGAAAACCAAGTCCTAGAGGGACTTCCTGACTTGCCCGAGGGCACTTGGCAAGGCAAAGGCGGAGGTATGCCAGGAGCTGCAGTTCATGAGGACATGGGCTATCTCTGGGAACCCAAAGCTGGGGCTAGCCCTGAAGCTTTGAACCTAGTCCCTGCATGCTGAGAACCGGCCAGGCCTGGGCGGATCCCCCCAGTGCTGTGACTCCAGGGCACCTGGCCCTGGTCCCCCTCTTCTTTCTGAAGCCCCAGCCAAACCTCTCCTTCCTTCTCAGAGTTTCCCTGCAGCTACCCCAGGGTGCTTAGGCTCTGCAAGGGTCTGTTCACAGCCCTCACCCCTTCCTCTGCCTCCAAGGGCCAGCACGAGCTCTGGATAAAGCCTGGGACCCCAGCCTGGCCCCCAGGAGGAAGCAAGAAGTAACATGGTAATTTCTGTAGATGGTATGATTGCCTCCTCTTTTTAGTGCTGAATTAAAAAGCCAGGTTTCCAGCCTATGTGTAGTGGGTTGGAGAGGTGGGGGAACACGAGGGAGGGCAGTAGAGCCATCATTGCCCTGAGCCTAGGGTATGTAAAACTGAGCTATGGAGCTGATGGGGTAAGGAGGCCAAGGGGAGGCAAGCAGAGAGGCTGGGCCAGGGTCAAGGAGATGCAAACTGGCTCACAGTCCCTACCTGGGCTGCTTCCACCTCTGATGGGGAGCCTCTTCCCAGGCATCCTTACCCCCAGATCCTCCAAACAAGGGTGCTACAAGGTTGTCTTTTCTATAGACCCTATTGCTGTGGTGATGTCCTTGCTGATGCTGTGGTGACAGCTGCTTAACTATTCCATATCCTTCCTGCCTCAAGCTGGTCTCTGTCTCCTTGGCCTGGTGCCGGGCCACAACCCTCTTCTGTCAATTATAGTTTGTTCCCTTCATTAAAGAGAGCCCTGGAGGCCCCTCTGACTAAGACAGCATCTCTTTCCCTGATCCAGCCAAATTAGATGCCACAGACTCCAGCTTCCCCCAGGGTATGGCTTCTCTCACTTCCCTGTGCACCCACCAGATTAGCAGGGAAGGGGGATCGCCTGAGGGTACGGGGGTGGGGGTGTTGATGCACAGGGGACTCTCCTTGTCGCCCACCCTGGAATTCAGAGGCCCTTCCCTTCTACAGCATCATATGTAGCAGGACGCTAAGGAAGGATTCCCTACTTGCAGGCATATGAGACCTGGAGAAGGGAGGCACAGGGCTCTGGGAGTGCCCCTTCCCTCTGAGGAACAAGAAAGAGGCAGGGGACAAAGATAATGACCCTGAGGCTTGCTGCAGGTGTCCTAGGTTAGCAGCTGTCTCATGGTTTCACGGAAGCCGGCCCCAGAGATGCACATGGGGTTCTGGGTCCAGGCTGAGGGGCAGGGCTCTGAGGGTTTCTCAGCCCTTGCAGGAACTGGAGTCACCACCTTCTCCTTCCTCACTCCCAGCTCCAGGTGGAAGCCTGAGGATTCAGGACTCTCCTGTCTCCCTGGCAGGCCAGGTGCTGTGTTCTGCTCCTGGTGCCCCATCACGCGCTGACCCAGGTTTGCCCTGAGATGGTGACCACGCCCCCCCACGACCTCCCCAGCTGGTTCTCTGCTGGCAGGGACGGGATCTGGGCAGCTGTGTCCTCCACAGTGCCTACCCCCCGCCCCCTGCCTGCTCAAGGGGCCTGTTCCAGCCTGCCCCTCATAAACAAGGGAACATGCGATTCTGCAGGGAAGGCCCTGTGCCCAGGGCTTGGGGGGGCAGTTTGCTCCTGGCACAGGAAAGCTTGGGTGAGATGTTTCAGGGCAGGGGCACAGAGACAGCACCCGCTGAGGAGGGGTCTCTATAGGTCAACAGAGATGCCCAGACAGAGTGCGGCCTGGGCAGGGAGAGTGCCAGGAGGCAGGGGAGTCAGCTGTTGTCTGGGCAGACAGGACAGATAACATTTTGCCAGAAAGCAGACTCCTGCTGCTGCCCCTGGCCCCTCTACTAGGTGGGGTGTGTAGTGTTGGATGGGTGGTGTGTGCAGGTGGCCGTTCTCTCTAAGTCACTCTGAGGGCACCTTGGTTGCAGGGAGTCAGAAGTTCTCTATCATGGCCCACTCCTCCACCACTCACAAGTCACTGCTGAGAGCCCAGGGGCAGGACAGGGAGAACAGGGAGGTTTCCTGATGCAGCAAATGTGGCAGGGCCCTGAAAGGTAGGGGGCAGAGGGCACACTTTAGACTCTTATGGGTCCATAATACCCAAGAGGAGAAGACCAGGCTCTGTTTCTGGATTCTTCAGAGGAAATGGAGGCCTAACCAGGACAGTAACTGGTTCAGAAGGTTAGAACCATCCAAAGGATCTCCTGCCCAGTCCCAGTGGGACTCTACACCCAGGAGAGGAGGGCTAGTCCTGCAAGATTCGCATCAGTTTAGTCCTCAGTGTAGAGCTCTCTGCCAGGCCCAATAGGGGAGAAGCCGGTGTCTGGGTATAGGGATCCAGGCTTTGAGGCTCTCTCATGCTGGAAGGAGAGACAGATCCCTCCACAAAGCAATGAAGCCATGTCTAAGGCACCATGGGAGGAGACAATGAGAGCTGCCTAGAGGGCTTAGGAAGGTGTCCCAGAGAGATGACAGTTAAGCTGGGCCTTGGAGAGCTTTGCCAGGGACAAGCAAGGGGAGGAGAGCTGCCAGCATAGGGAACAGCCTGGGCTCAAGTCCAGTGCCATGAAAGGAAAGACCGAGAGTGTAGCAGTGTCAGGAAACTGCAGGGCAGTGACTTGTAGGCCAGGAAGAGGAGTCGGAAGAGCCCCAAGGCTGTACCTGGCACGCAGTAGGCTCTCAAGCTCTGTCTTGAATGGATGATTGAATAGATGTTCCTGTTAGAAAGATCATTGCCCGTCAGGCACTCCCAGGGGTCAGTGACTCTGTGGACTTCTAGAATTACAAACAAACTGAGTACATAAGTCACATTTTTTTTTTCCTGAAGAAAAGGACGAGGCTTCTGCCAGATTCTATAGTAGAAGCTAGACTAGAGATTCATGAAGGTAAGGACCATGTCTGTTTTATTCACTGACATATCCTGAGCCTCTAGCAGAGTGCCTGGCACATAGTTGATACTCAATACAGATATGTTAGATTCAGAAATGAATTCTCAGAGGGCCTGTGGTCCAGAAAAGGTGGGGAGTGGCCAAGAGTGGGACAGAGGAGGGAGACCAGATGGGAAATGTGCAGGCAGAGAAAGAGGCACGACTCCCTGGGCAGATGACAAGAGGCCAGGGGTTGAGGAGCTGGGAGTCTGGTTGAGCCACAAGTGAGAGGGGAACACGGGAGGGACAGAAAGGACTACAGCAGGTGGGGGAGAGGCCAGATTGGGCATTCAGAATCAGAAATATCTGTGAGGCATCTCAGACGTGGTATCTAGTGTCTCTCTGGCAGCATGGGTCTGGAGCTCAGGTGAAAAAGCCATCATGTCTGGAGATGGAGACTTGGGGTCTCAGATTCTTAAAGCAACAGGAGAAAGTGAAATCACCCACAGTTGGAAAGGGAAGAAAGAAAATAATGATGCCCAGCCAGGCGCGGTGGCTCAAGCCTGTAATCCCAGCACTTTGGGAGGCCGAGACGGGAGGATCACGAGGTCAGGAGATCGAGACCATCCTGGCTAACACGGTGAAACCCCGTCTCTACTAAAAAATACAAAAAACTAGCCGGGTGAGGTGGCGGGCACCTGTAGTCCCAGCTACTCAGGAGGCTGAGGCAGGAGAATGGCGTAAACCCGGGAGGCGGAGCTTGAAGTGAGCTGAGATCTGGCCACAGCACTCCAGCCTGGGCGACAGAGCAAGACTCCGTCTCAAGAAAAAAAAAAAAAAAAGAAAAAAAGAAAAGAGTGAGGCCCAAAGTTCAGGAAAGTTCCAGCATTGATGGCAACTAAGAGACAGTGTCCAGACTCACAGCAGGACCAGGAGGAGCATCACAGGGCCTGGGGAGCAGGTGTTCCCATGCTGAGGCCATTGAGAGGCCTGGAGGCCTGAGCCAGGGAGTGCAGAGATAACTGGGGTTTCTCCAGGGCCACAGCCATCGAGAGGTTGGGATGTAAGTGAAAGGCAGATTCCAGCAGGGCAAAGAGTGAGTGGAGGATGAGAGTGTGCAGTCAGTGAGCATGAGGCTAGCTCCCTCAGTGACTTCATATGGTGGTGGAGGGTGGAAGTGAGATGGGGGAACTGCTGGAGGGCCAGGGGAGCAGCAGCGTGGAGGGACAGCATTTGAGAAAAGAAGTCACGGGTAGGGAGAGAAAGTTGAAGTTACCAGAGAAAGGAGTGAGTTGGTGGTACCAGGGCTCTGCGGGGGTGTGTGTGTGTGGAGTGTGGGAATGTGCGGGAGGGAGGGTGAGTATGAGTGTGTGGCACCAGGTCGGGTGGGATGATGATAGGCAGGTTGTAGACATGTTTGGGAGTCATGAGGAGGGAATGGGGGCTCTCTTGACTTTCGTCACTGCAGTGAAGTAGGGGAGAAGCCATCTTCTAGAAAGAAAGGATAGGAAGGAGACAGAACCCAACTGCCCCAGCTCCAAGAAGCCTGCCCATTCTCTTCAGCTTGGAGCCAGCCTTGGAAGTGCAGTGAGAAGGGGCAGGGTGGTCTCAGAGGGTGGGCTGGGTGGGCAGCCAGAGCTTCTTGACAATGCTGTAGACTAGGGACACATAGAACCCCCCACTCACCACTGGCCATGGTGAGTTCCTTAGGAAGTGGCATTCTTTTAGCCACAAACCTTTGATCTGAGCCAAACCCATCCTTAATTACATTCTGTTTTCTGCCAGGATCATTTTCTAGAATGATCAGTTCTACTTCTGCTCCCCATTCTTGGAAGGAGAATCAGAGAATTGGAAGTAACTCCCAGTCCCCTGACTCCTTCATCCTCTTTTATAGGTTCCAGAGTCTGAGGGCCAGAGGCAGGGCATGGACATCCAGCCCCACACGGCAAACCCAAGCAGCTGGCCCAGCCCAGGCCCTCTACCACTTTTTGTTGTGGGCAGGCTGGTGTGCTCTAAAACCATCCTAATTTGCATTTTGTGTGTGTGGTGGGGTGGTGAGCAGGAAAATGACAGCCAGGAAGGGAGTGGTTGTAAGCTGCCTGGGAGAGAGGGCAGAAAAGGTTTGGGAGCTCCTGAGTCAGAGAGGGAAGGCCACTAGGTCCCCAGAGCCAACAGAGCAGACATCAAGTAGAACGCCTGTTTAGCTGGCAGGCAGGGGTTTTCCCCCTTGCTTCTCCTTGAGAGGCAGGAGAGAGGTGGTGGGCTGCCTTGGACTACCGGCTTCTCTGGTGCCAGAAGCCCCCTGCCTGACCCACCCAAGATGAAAGACAGGCCATCTTCCATAGCCTGGAGACTCAGGGAACTTCTCTGATTCACTTCCCTGGAGCACTGATTCAAGATCAAACACAATTCTCATGTTTTAGAGGGAAACCCTCTGCGGAACAGAGTTCTCCAGCACCAATCAAAGTGCTGCTCCCTTTCCCCTTACCTAGCTCTCTGACAAGTGACAGCTTGCAAGCTGAGAAACCAGCCCATCATGTGTGACCTCCCAGAGGCATTCTGGAGTCAGGGTCTTTCACCAAAGATTACCAATGATGGGGCTTTCAGATGCTGCAGCAGGTCTTTCAAGAAGTTTTAGGGGTGAGCAGGGTCTTCCACTGATCAAGCTGACTGTGACAGTCAAATTGCCTTCAACTATCTAGAGAAGTTAAAGGCTTAATTCTTGTCTGTGGTCTGCAAGACCCTGGGCCACCATGACCAGAGGGTCCCTGAGCTGCAGGAAGACGGCTGGGAGTGGCAAGGAAGGGGAGTAAAGAGAGGGGCTGGGACTGGTTCCATGGGTGAATCTGGGGGCACAGCCCTGGCCTCTGTCCAGTTCAGGCCCCTCCTTCTCGAGAGGAGGGAAGGCAGCTGGTTGGACGGAGGACAGGCTGGATATTGCTTACCTGCCGTTGCCATATTTGATGCGAATGTCTCGGCTGCGGTTGAGCTCCTTGCCGTCCTTGAACCAACGGTAGGAAGGTTGGGGATTACCGGCTGCTGCCTCACACTTCAGCGATTGCTTCTCACCCACCTGTCCTGTCTGGCTCTTCATCTTCTTCAACTTGGGCCGGGTGGCTGTGGGGTACAAGGCAGGTAGGTGAGCATGGTAGTGGCAGGGGCAGTGCCAAGCATGAGTAGTGGACAGTAGGGGCCACTGTTTTTGGGCTGGAACTGGGGAAGGGAGGGGTGATCCTGAGAGCCACCCCTCCTGGTGTCATTTCCTAGTTCAATTCAATAAGCATTTACAGTGAGTCTGTCATGACATCAATGTAGTTATAACTAATGGAGAGTTTCCTTCATGCTTTGAATGGTGTGAAGCTCGACATTAGCTTATGAAACCTTCACAATAACCCCACGAGTTCACAGCAATGGTTAAACCCACTTACAGATGGGGAAATGGAGGCTCAGAATGGTGAAGTCACTTCCCTAAGGGCAGATGATGGAACTGGGATTCAAACCCAGATCTCCTTGACATTGGTGCTCAAGATCTAAAATCATGGGTAACAAGCCATGGGGCTGTACTGGTGGGCTCGGGCCCAATCACGGATGCAGAGCTGCAAATGCCAGGCTGAGAGGCTGTCCCCATTTTTCTTAAATGCCATTCTATCTCCACATGCCCCAGTCTCCCATGCTTCACTTCCTTGCTCCTCTCCCCACCACCAAAAAAACAAAACAAAACACGCACGCGCACACACACACACACACACACACCCCAAAAGAGAAAGTACCCTGTTCTTAGGAAGGTGAGGCCAAGCCAGTGCTCGTGCTGAGGTGTGTAACAATTTCCAGTGGGATAGTCCCTTAAAGGATACACAAAGCCTTCATGCAGGTTCTCGTTTGGTCTCTGAGCTCTGTAAGGCAGTGTCATACTGACATTGATGGTGCAGATGAGACTCAGAGAGGTGAAGAAACTTGCCCGAAGCCACATAGCCAGGCAGCCACAGAGCTGGGACCAAAGCTCAGGTATCAAGATTTGCCACGTGTTAGGTTGGTAGCAGGATGGTGTCTGATTTTGTGGTCTCATCTCTCTCTGTGAGATGGTTAAAAGCCTTCCAGTAGCAGAAGGGAGGGTCTGTTGGAGCCAGGGAGTTGTCTGGGAACTGACTGGCTCTGTCTCAGCCATTGGTCCTTTCCCTGGCAGCTCAGAGCGCTGACAATGGGCCAGAGCTGGCTCTGGAGAAAGGCAGGCAAGAGGGCCTGGCTAGAACAGGGTCCCCTCATTGAACTTCACCCTGAGCTGCTGCATATATGCAGGGAGAAGATGAGAGGGGCGCAGGGCACAGAGGAAGCACAGAAAGGAAGCCTTTAAAAATGTATGATGTAGGCTTATGCAATGATTCTCATAAAATAATTTTGTTCATTTTAGAAAATTAAAAAATACGGGAGGTTGAAAAAAGAAGAAAACAAAACCATCCCTTGTCTCCATACTCATAAATAACACCTCCCCCCATTTTTAAACAAAATGGAATCAATGCCATTTGTGGACAATAATAACAATAATAGCTAACCTTTGTCAACTGCTCTCTCTGTGCCAGGCTCTATGTATTCTTTCCTTTAATGAAACAATGTAACCCTTTCGCCTTGGTGTTAAATAGTAATAATAGCATTTCCCAAAGTGAATTCTATAAGCAGGAGTATCTGGAGAGATGAAAACAGATATTACTTGAGAAGAGGGTTCCATAGGAAAATGGGTTTGGAGAGCATGTGGGTTAAGCCTAGTTAAAGAAGTATCTATCAACTTCAGTATTGTTCTCTAAGTGAGGGCCTTGAAACCATTTTTCTTGGAACTCTTAGCAGCATTTCAAGGAAATAAAAAGTTATGTGGAATAAATTCTATAACTTATATGTGTATTTATTTGTGTGTGTATATATATATATATTGACAATGATTCCATTGAATATATATATAGATAGATACACACACACATATATTTTGACAGATATTAACATGATTCAAAATTTAAGAAGTGAAAAGGGGTATATGGCTTAAAAAACAAGTCTCTCTCTAACTTCTGGCCACAACCACACAGTTGTCTTTCTAGGAGATAATCATTCTTATCGGTTCCTTTGACCTCCTTTCAGAAATCTTTTATGCATACACAAATCCCGCCCCCCACCCCCCCGAGTATTCACACACTCAGTTTTTCTTACAGCATCATTTTTCATGGTTGCATAATGTTCCTGTATGGGTGTATCATAACTTCTGTAACTGATTCCTGTGTGGAACATTTAGCATGTCCCCCTCCACCTTCCCATTACAAACAACCCCAAAAGAACATCCTTGCAGCTTTATCTTTGCACACACCCCATGTATACTGCTGTATGGAGGAGGATGACTCTAGACTCAGGCTGTCTGGCTTTCAATCCAGACTTTGCTACTTGTTAGATTTATGTCCTCAAGAATTAACTTCATTCGTTTGCGCCTCAACTTCCTCAGCTGTAAAATACAGGAGATAAATAATAGCTCTTACCTCTTGGGATGATGACTGTGAGGATTATATGAGACAATGCATGTAGAGCCTGGCACATAGAGAGCATTTAACAAAGGTTAGCTATTATTATTATTATTCACAATTATTTCCTAAGGCGATCTTCCTAAAAGTGGAATTGCTGCGTCAGAGGGTACGCAATCTTCCTCAGCTTTGTACATTGCCAAATTGCCCTTTGGAAAGGTTGCACCAATTTGTGCTCCCCCCACTGAATGACAGTGCCTGTTTTTTCCACACCCTCACCAACACGAGGTATTATCATGTCTTTAATCTTTGCCAATTGCTAGGCAAAAGATAACGTCTGTTTGTTGTTTTAATTTGCATTTATTTGATTACTGATGAGGCTGAACATTTTTCATAAGTGTATTGGCCCATTGTATTTCTTCTTTTTGAATTGCCTGTTCATGCATGCAGTCTGTTTTTCTATTGAGTACTCATCCTAGTGACTTGTAAGAGCTTTTTATAAATATTAAGGCTATTAACCTTTTGCTACAAAGTTTTTTCCCCTCAGTTACCTGCTTTTTTATATTGCTCGTTTTTCTTCTTCTTTTTCGTTTATTTTCTTTCTTTTCTTTTTTTTTTTTTTGTGGCACCCAGAGATTCTATGTGCATCAATCTATCAATCTGTTGGACTTTTTGGAACTTCATTATTCTAAGTGTGACTGAAATCCTGCCTTATCTTCCTTCCCTTACCCACCTCCCTCCCTCCTACATCTGTTCTGGAGTCCCCAGTCATTGCTTACGTTAGGTCTTAACCCTGGAGGCTAATCGGAATCACATGAGAAGCTTTACAAGTCAGGTACCTGGGACATATCCTAGGCATTCTGAAGCAGAAGCTGTGAGTGTGGGTTCAGGTTGTGGGTTCTAAAGAGCTCTTCAGGTGTGTTCCTTTACTTTTGGAAATGTAACAGACATTCAGGAAAGTGCACATAAGTGTATAGCTCAATGACTGGTTACAGACTGAACACATATGCACAAGTGACTTTGCACTAAGATTGGGTTGACACCTGGTGATGATCTAACCTCTTGGTTAAGTGGCGACCTTCAACTAGTCCCTTCCCCTTTCTTGTGAACTGGGGACACAACACAGAGAGCTCTTCTCGGGTGCTAAACTGTCCCCTTACCACACTTGGAGTGTGTGGACTTTTCTTGCAACTCAGAGACAAGGGAACCGCCTGTCCCCACCACCATGAACCATTTTCCCCCCAACAAGATGGGGCGGTGGGGGAGGGAGGATGGTGGTGGCAGCTGGTGGGAGGAAGCAGGGGTTACTCTACCACCTTGGTTCCTGACATGAGTTCCAGTGCTATATTATGCACTTAGCCTGTGGCCACTGCTTAGTGGTGATGGTGATGGGCTAGGGGGATGTGTTACAGAGAGACTGTTCCCAGAAACAGTAGGCAAGGCCCTAATTCAGAGGGCCTGAGGAACTGAGAACTCCAAAGTAATTGCCGGCCACCGATGGAAAACACAGGACCGCATTTCAGATCACAGGGAGCCCACTCCATCTAGTGAGAACCTTGTGTGACTCAGTAGCAATTTCTGGATAGTCCACTCACTTCAGAACAATCTTATCTAGTTCACCTGTTCCTTATTCATCTATTCAGTTCATTCCAAATTCATTCATTCATTCATTCAACCATACCAAGAGATAAGCATCCTACTGTTAGGGAGCCTGAATTTTAGCGAGGGGGACAATAAGCAAAACATCAACAGGAAATATGAGACAGTAAAAAAAAAAAAAAGCAGCTGGATAAAGGCCCTAAGGTGGGAATGAGCTTGATGAGTTCATGGGGCCAAAAGAGGCCTATGTGGCTGGAAGATAGTAGAAGATGGGCAGGGTGTGAGGGGAGCTTGGAGAGGTAGGCAGGGCTGAGGTTGACATGGGGCTGTGCAAGCCAGGATGAGAAGTCCAGATTTGTTTTGTATATTTAAAAAAAAAAAAAAAACCCAACTTTTTATGTGCCTACTAGAAATTTTAAAATTACATATGCGGATTGCATTATATTTCTATTGGACAGCCCTGGTTTAAAGGATGACAACATAAAAATAACCATACATTTGAATCATGCTATGTTCTTTACAAAGAGTTTTCTTTTATAGCTCTTAACGGTTCCTCAGAATCATCTGTGATGCTAAAAGCCATGCCTCCTGCTCTAGCAGGTGCAAGTCCTGGTCTTTGCTCACAGAAATCCTAGTTTGCAGTGATTTGAAAGTTGAAAGCCAGGGTCGGGCAAACCTTGTAGGAAAGTTCCTTGGGGTCAGGGGGCAGTGGCAGCAGCTCAGGTGGCAGGAAAGAGAAGAATATACACCAGATGGCCTTGGAACAATGCCTGGGCCTAGAGCCCTGCCAGGTTTTCTGTGGCAAAGATTGAGGTGACCTCCCCAAGATGGCCCTGGATTGGTTTTGTAGGTGTGCTGGGAAGGCATTAGAGGCTTATAAGTTAGGGGATGACCTGATCTTACTTTCTGCATTTTAAGCTCTTTCTTATCCTGAGCCACCATCCTTTCTCTATGCATCCTCTAGCCATCAGTTCTAGTACCAGCCCCTGGGGTCATGTGGGATAAGGCTGAGGGGTTGTTCGC